TAGATTTGTTTGACCTGATAATCTCATAGTCGTTCTCCATCTGTGATCAAGTTTTCAATCAATCAAGCTTCCAACTACAGCGACTGTACTTACTACTGGATTCTACTTGGCTGTTTAATGTACTGTCTTCTAATATTCGAAGTTTGGCTTTGGCTTAGACTTCATCCACTCTCTCTAACGCACGACTTGGACGAACAAAAAGAACACAATCTATTCCTAGATTTTCAAAGCCTCAGCCTGATCTGAATTATAGAAAGGTCACATTTGTATTACCATACCATCGCATTACGAAGAAGCAAAAGGAAAAATCACAGTTTCATTCAGCCTCCTCCCATTGCGACCTTGTTTCTGACTTCGAGACACAACATTTCCGAGCTTCGGAGACCCGTTTCCAGCAGAATATCAATTGCCACCACCGTCTGCAGTTATCCATTTTGTGATCCAGCACACTTGTTTGATTTGTTGGCGTGTTTGGGATAAGTACCTGGTCATAATTCGGTACTCTGCGGAAACCTGCATCTCACGAGATTAAGATTAGCTTTTGATTCCACGCGGGGTTCATCGAATTGAGTTACTGTGCCTTGCAGCAAACACCGTTTTTGACACGACGTACTTGACTTAATTTGTTTCTGACAAATGAGCGGCACACGATAGCAACTTACTTTTCTCTTCTTCACCCGATCAAATCTACGAGATAGAATAAGTGGAATATTAAATTCGTCGACCGTCACCAGCAGTGGGAGCATAAAGGGGTATACACATCACGAATAGTTATCGATGAGATATCTTCGAAGCGCCATGAGAAAATCGAAAATAAGAAAGCCTCCACCATTATACGTCCAAACGTATTCTAGGAAATCCTCACCGCGTTGTTCCTCCGTCCTTTCCGACTGCGACGCCGACGACGAAGGCTTCATGTCGTCAGGGGAATTCCTGCCATCATGCTCGAAGCCTTTAAGTCATTCAATGACCGGTCCTTATTGCCCACGGCGACCAACATTACAAGAGGTCTTATCGAATGTTGCACCACCACCATGGACGTTAAGCGCTTTCATGGCATACCTGTCACAAAATCATTGTCTGGAAACTTTAGAATTTACGATGGATGCTACGCGATATAAAAATCATTACCACACGACATATGGTAGGGATCCATATTCACCATTATCTCCCACCGATCAAGATTGCGAATATGTACGAATGTTATGGCGAAAATTGTTGGATGCATACATTACGCCAAATGGACCACGAGAAGTGAATTTACCTTCCGATGTTAGGGATCGATTATTGGATTTACCAAATGCATATGATGCACCGGACCCAAGGGAGTTGGATCAAGCCGTCAAAATCATATATGAGTTGATGGATGAATCCGTACTAGTTCCATTCTTGAACTCGATAGTTCCTCCGTCACGTGCTTCAGAATCTAGTCCTTGGGTCTCGAGTGAGTCATTTGGTGACACTGCGATGACTGAATCCTTGGACGAACGAGCCTTGTCGCCTGGTCTATCACGCGCGAGAAGAGAAAGCCCACCTCCCAGTGGGGATAAGGTTTTTCATTCCCATAATCTTCCATCACAGCGTTCATCTCAACATTCACATCTTACTGCTGCATTAGGTCGTGCAACTTCTGCTCGCTTATCAACATTTATCTCCGGATCTTCAGGAACTTCCTCTGTCGAATCCGAAAGTCTTACGGATGACACCGAATCACCGTCTTCCCTAGAGCCAATAACCCCGCCGACCACTCCTCCAACTTCAGATACTGGTTTTGTAAGCGACTCGCCTGATCCAAGTCCACGTCATTCTCGTGAAGGAAGTGTTAGTTGGAAGAAGATGGGTGCCAAACTCGGTTTCAAGAAAAGTCGATCTACCCATGGATCGACAAGCAATTCGCGCCCCGGCAGCGGCAGCGATGATCACAGTGGTAGTCAACCATGACGGGAAGAGGCCTCGTCATCACTTTCCGATGCTTTTTCTAACATTCCTTACCCGATGAATGGGCCTATGGAAAATCCCATAGATGCCTCAATCTTGACAAATGAGACATCACAGTCTCGCGTCGATGAAACGCTGAAAGCAACTGAAGGAGTATCAACACCCATGGTCGCGTATCCTGGTTCAGCAGTAGATATTTCTGGACGTCGGCCTTCACTCGTTACAGCTATGGCGTCAACACATGTTCACAACGACGAAAAGGGAGTTTCATTTGGGTCTTCTAGGTCTCACAAAATTATTAAATCTTGGGGGATTACAGAAGAGGGTAGGAATATGAGTAGAGGTGTTGGAGGGGATGATGTGGCCGCGAAATTGGGGTCATATTTAAATGAGAAGGAAAATGTTCATGCGAAAATGATGCAGGTTGCAGGCTTGCCATTTTATATCCCAGCAAAGGTGCCTGAAGAAGATGAGCCGAGGAAATCATCAGAAATGACAATTACAGATACCGAAGTTGACGTGGATTTTGATTTCGAGGAAGATAATGGCACTTGGATATCAGCACATTCATCAGCTCGCGCATCGACGACAAGTCTAGCAACGACTGATTCATCTCCGAGGACAATTATGGATGATCGATCTCACGACGATACCTTCACAACCGATACAAGCATTGCATGTTCTTCTGCCAGTAGCATCTATTCTAGCTCAGCTGCTAGCATTAGTTCCTGTACCAGTGGTACGAGCACTGATATTTATGGATGGGAAGAAGAACTTGAACGAAAGAGTGGTGAAGGTTCTCCATCCTGGGATCATCGAAGTGAACTCGGAGCGGCAATGAGACGTCTTCCAAGCGGTGGTAGAACAATAGGTCATCGTGGTGGACACACAGGAGGACTTCCACAATGTTCTTACAAACGAGCGGATGGAAAGAAGAAAAGTTTGTTGTATCGCGTGTTGAACATTTCACCACCCAAGAGATTGAACGACGATTTACCTTCGGTACCAATAATGCCTTCTTCCTATCCGATACAGAATACCGCGGTTGAAACGGCACCTTGACATTTCCATTCTTGAACAAATATTTTACAGACACATTTGGGAATTCCAAAGCACGAGGTACGAAATTGGAGAAAGAGATAAAAATATGACACGGCGTGTGGCATATGGCATACGTTTGGCGTTTTACTTGTATTAGCATGTATGGGTTTAAGAATTATTCCCATGTTCACATATTTTGGTGGCAATTATTTCATTTTTGTTCTTGTTTCATATCACATCAATGTCTGTCACGATAAGGGATGAAAGAATTTTTTGGATGGAAAAATTGCGCGCGCTTGCTCTTCTTATTTTACTTTTTTCTTTTCGTACTCACAACATGGCAAAACGGCATGGAATGGTTTGGTTGGTTGGGTTTGGTTTGGCTGGCTTGGGATTCAATGTTATGTTATGTTAACGATGGGATGGTATGGGATGGATTGGGAAGGCGTAGAATAGAATTTTTCATTGAGAGAGTTTTTTGAGCTTTTTTTCTTTCCTTCCTTTCTTTTTTTTTATGATGGGCATGATCTATGGGATTGGACTGGATGGGTTGGGATGGGATGGATGATACATGGTTGTGGCGTTTTGTTCTTTTCTTTTTCTTGAAGATCGTTTATGGGATTGGATTGGATTAAACTGGATTGTATGGATTGGAATAGGAGGAAAGGCGGTATTCTGCACAGTTTGGTTGTGTGTGTATGTATGTATGTATGTTTGTTTGTTGTATGGTAGGTAGCATTGTTTGTGGGGGGGGGAATAGTATGATTGATTGATTAATTGATTATACGATAGGTGTATAAGATAGGATAGGATAGGATAGAATGAAGAAATTTGTATACTTTTTTGATAGATTTTTATACTTTTTTTAAGTGAGGTGTAAAGTATAAGGAAGTAGAATTTATATTATAAGTTTTTCCTATAACGTGGTTTATCAGCGAGTCGCCACTTTTTCAATATCTTTTATCATTCAATTTCAAGACACGATATTTCAACGAATTATTATGGAAATACAATCAAAAGAGGCCAGAATAATCTTAGCTATTGAAGCTATTCAAAAATCAAAAAATCTTCCAGTTGGGAAGACTGCGAAAATCTACAAAGTCCCTCGAACTACATTACGAGATAGAATGGACGGTCGAATTCACAGAATGGAAACTCGAGCAAATAATCTTAATTTGATTGAAAAAGAAGAAGAGATGTTTATTCAGTATATTATCGATATAGATGAAAGTGTTAAAGTGAATGGTTCCTGCGTAGCACGTGCACAGGGCACTAGTCCTATTAGGACTAGATTGAGAAGCTCTCTGTAAGAGAGCTTCGCACTTCCGTAGAACTTAGAAGAGAGATTAACCTACTAGACCAATATTACCTCAGCTCTGCCCTATCAGCTTCCCACTATTCCCTGTGTGAGGTCATTCCTTTTAACAGAAAGAGGATTTGTATCTAAATTAAATAATGTAGAAAATATAACGAATTATATTCTCGAATCAAGAAATACGAAGAAAGTTGGAAAGCTCTAGGTTTATCGATTTGTAAAGTGTTGTATAAAATTAAAGATATGTTTTAATTATATTTATAACTTTCAAAAAGCTTTTTGTGAAGATTTTAAATTTATTGAAGAGTGGTTTGGATTTGTCACACTCAAGAATACTGGGTAAAGTATCTTGTATTAGAAAATACTAAGCTAAGGAGAAAAGAAGAAGGAAAACAAGAGTAGAGAGTTTTCCTATTGTGACCAAAAGGGTGTTTATAGACCAGCAATTGTATTTAACTTAGAATCTACAGGTGAAGAGCACCTGTAGATGGGGATAGCTACTCTATATATACACAAATGAATGGCCTAGCCGCAATGGCTAGGCAAAAAGAAGTCATATTTATTCCTCCAATGATCTTACTTTACCGATAACCATTGATACCGAGTACTTGTCCGGATCTGATCCTCAGGTCACCTAAATCGCATACTAATCTCGAGTAATCGTATCATGTGTGGACATGGTTAATGTACCTGAGGTTTCTTATATAATAAAGGTGGGAGGAAAGCAGGGATTTCCGTCACACCTATGATTAAATACAAACGGGGCATGCCACGTGACCCGGAGGTGTGAGGCGTCACAGGATTGGTATCGAATATATAGGCGAAATACAGTATTCAAGATTGCGATTTCTACAACTTCGATGAAACTGGCTTTATGATGGGTATAATATGCCCTGGAATAATTGTAACTAGTTCTGAACGAAATGGCAGAAGTAAGGCAATACAATCAGGCAATTGAGAATGGGTTATGGCAATTATATATGGTAATGAAGAGGGTGAAACTATATCTTCATTTTTGATAGTTCAAGGACAAGTTCATCTTTTCAATTGATATACCGAAACCGATTTTCCTGTGGATTAGGTTATTAAATCTATTTCTAATAGATGGACAAATAATGAGATAGGTTTAGAATAATTAAAGTATTTTGATAAATATATTAATTAACAAAGAAAGAGCAAATTGTAACGATACTGTACTAAAGGCAGCGGCTGCCTAAGGTTCGTGTTACGTCCAAAACGATTAGTATGTCACATGACCATAAAACATGTGATGGAACGGTGAGGAACGAACGTTCCTAGGAACAATCAGGAACGACGATTCCTAGTTAACCATAGGCACGAAGGACTATATAATCAAGATGGATTTCTTTTGTATAGAGCTTCGTGCTCAAGATCAATCATTTAGTATACTCTACTATTAGTTACGAATTGCATTATTGTCATTACTTTAAGTCTCTGCTTGACGTCTAGTTATAAACCACCTCGAGAGCCTAGAGCACTTCCACGTGATCTAGACGGCAAACCTCGTAACAGAATCATTTATTAATCGATATTATAGTAAATGTGGAAAGATTGATCACAATTCAAGAACTTGTTCTAATAATATAATAGACTCTAGATTATTAGATTCTTAATAGTTTAATGTTACGTAGTAACAGTCAACCTGTCCATATGAGCTTAGACCCCGTGGAAAAGCAAACCGATTCGCATACAATTTTGTATGGTAATCGGTTCGTAGAGTCTCCCCACCTTCAGCAAGCACAGACATATAGTCTGATCCAAGTCACGTGATGGACCCTGCATATTCAGGGATACGAATCGTAGGTCCATACGAATCGTAGGTCCATACGAATCGAAGGTCCACAAACTCTCAGGACCCAAGAGATCCAATGGAGGACGAAGGTCTATATAATCAGGATGGTTTCCTTTGTGTAGAGCTTCGTGCTCAAGATCAATCATTTAGTATACTCTACTATTAGTTACGAATTGCATATCATTATTGCCCTTACTTAAGTCCCTGTTTGACGCCTAGTTATAAACCACCTCAAGAGCCTAGAGCACTTCCACATGATCTAGACGGCAAACCTCGTAACAAGATATTAGATTTTTCATAATTTTATTAACTAAAATATTTAAAATTGAAATTACAATTTTCAATTTATATAGGATTTATATACCAATTTGAAAATCTTGAAAATCTTAAATAATCTTTTAACAAAAATTATTAAAAATAATCAAAAAATAAAATACTAGACTTAACTTGAGAAGTTTCATTTCGAATTCTCAGAATATTCAAAATTGTGGATGTGTTGAATGGCAGCAAAACTCCAAGATGCCTTTAAGACGGACTGGAAGGTTAAATATTGCGTAGATTTCCTTGGTCCTGTTATCATATATAAGTACCAACAGCTCTCTCAGATCAGTAAAGTCTCAAGCATGATGACAGTATACTATCGATGGAAGTCATCCAAGCATTTTGGACAATTACTGTCACCAAGAAATCAATGTATGGTTACCACGAAGTGTCCATATGGTTAGTGGTAAATATTATAAGTGAAAACGGAAAGTGACTTGTAAATAATATCGATCTATACCATCTTAAAGCAATCTGTCTTGAAATCCCAAGATGATGTTTCCTCGTCTTCGGGGAAATATTATTCCATAAAGGTAGCAGGTTCACATTGGCTCGGTTAGTAAGTTTAGTATTATTTGTCCACCATACCTAGGGAGAAAAGAGCCTCAAAAGATAGTAAGAATTCTAAAATCTTCTTCCAAAAAACAACTACTAACCATAATAGATGTTAACATTTGGGTTGCGGGTGTCATAGAGCAATCAAAGCCCTTCTGTTGACCTCCTGGGATCTTGGCAGCATATGCATATATAGTACATATGCATATAAGGAGCAAACAAAACTCAACTTTTAATTCATTCTTTCCTTTTTGGTATACTGTTTGTTTGCTTTCAATATTTTGATTTCAAAGCACTTTAATTCCGAAGGCCGAATACCTAACCTATTCCTTCATTTTTTTTCAATATATACTCGCAGCTTAACTGCTCAGCTAGAAAATCAATTCAATCTGATGCTCTTTCTAGTCTCAAGTAACCCAACACCTTCACATTCCTCCTCGGCCAAAGATGAAATACTCGGCCTGTCGCAGGTAAAACTGCAAGAGATGCTCACTAAGATTATTGAAGAGAATGATTCCATCCGCCACGAATGTGGAAAGAAGGCTTCCGTCAAACTACGCCACGTAATACCCTATCACACATCAATAGAGATCGAGCTCGACGAAAATGCTATGGAATCTCATCTTGGTCTAATCGATGTAGCTGCGAGCAAGGTTTTAATATCTCGTTTTGCGATTTGTGAATTCAACACATGTGGAAAGATGTTTGATGTATCAAGCAACAGTGGTAGGCTCTGTAGGTCGCATGTAAGATACATGTACACACGGCATCCTTTCTACTGGATGCATGCACAATACTGATCTAAATATGTATAGTTGTCATATTATTCAAGTTAACAGCTTGTTGAAAGCAGCATCAAACCAAAGAATGGTCCTTGGCATTACATTTAAGAACATGCATACCATGAAAGGTTTATGTGGTCATGCTGCGAAGCAGATCCCGATGACTGGACTGCAGAACGACGCGGAACAGATCACGTTATCCTCAAAATCTAGCTAGAAATAATCGCTGTTAGTCCTATCCTTGTGGGTAGATTATCTTCGACCTTAATAAGACAATGATTTTGTTAGAAAATATATATATGAGAAATCGTTAATCAAACAAAGCCTGAGACGTACTGATCTCGAGGATATACCTTAATAGATATGAGACTGTACACGCTAATTAGCTAAGCAAACAAACAGCTCTATCGGTGTGCTCCGAGGTCTAAGGCATAATGAGCTAAACCTATGGAAAACTTTCTTGATGGATTCTTCCTGCTTTGATGGTGTTGGAATAGTCTTGCTACTACTGCTTTTGAACTGCATCACTTCCGCCGGTTTTGGTAAATTGTGACTTCAAAATTTGTAGTATGATCAATTGATGCAGTCCGCCTTCAAAGCATTGTTTATCATCTAATCCTTTCATACTTTTCATCCCACCGAGCCGGACTCCGAAAGCTTTCTCATCTTTGATTCCATCACTGACCTTGTCAAATAAAGAACAACTAATCACTTCAAATCCATCACTAAACCCACTTCCATCCCATCTATCTCCCATCCCAAATAACCCCGACCGCACACCGACACGTTGCCCGAACTCCGACCCTCTCTCAAAGTAATCAGTAAGAAAGCCACATCTACGTAATCTCATCTCATCTAAACCAATCTCGTCGTCAACAAAGAACATTCTCCTTCCCCTGATTCCTCAAACGCACCCATCACGTTCCAATCACCTCGTCCGTATACCTCGCCTGATTACCTCATCTGACGTCTAACTTCATAAGCTTGGAAGACACACAAAGAACGAGCAGAGACTTGCTGCTTTTACATGCGCTTAAATTGTCATCAGGAACGCTCGGAAATAAAAGAACAAAGAAGTTTTAGATATTTGCTGCTTTAATGAGGAGGTTAGTGATGCAAGCTCGTAAATAGTCCAATCAAAGAGCCGGCGACGGAATAATGGATGCGGTGGTGGAAGAGCTTGGAAATTTGAATGCGGAATTGAGTGACTGAAGCTCAGGAGGCCGAGGAGTGGGTGATTACTGAGGGAGAAAGAAATCGATGCCGAGGCTACTCGATAATGAAAGGAGGGAGACAAAGGAAATTAGCACGAAGAGCACATTATGAGTACTATTTGATGTTTCGGAAGAAATTCCGACTCCGTTCAAAGAAGAGCTTACTTTTTGAACAACGAAGTGAGGAATTGGGGTGAATTGGGACAAGAAAGATGAAAACGGGCGGAAGCCAGTTTGGAGCGTATAATAGACATTGTTAGTTATACGCAGAGGAAAATGGAGTATATTCAGTGGACTGACGAGTAAAGATGGAATTTGGCAGGAAGATAAATCTAGAGCTGGTAACTAACTGCAGGCTCCATGAGCATGGTTCTAAAAGCGTAAATTGTTGTAGAATGGATGGTAGAACTGAACAAGAAGGATCTCTTCCGTGAAGAAACAACAAAGTAACAACAATCAGCAATGAAAAATTGAAAATTGAAAATAGAAAAAGGAACATTTATTCTACTACGCACGTGTGAAATAAAGAGGAACGATATTTCATGGTAAAGGCGAACATTAAGATAGAAAAGCCGTATCTAAAATTGGTTTCCTTCCGCAACGTGTGGAAAACGTGTAGAATAATAGAAGATATAATTGGAATTACGATTGAATGAAGATCGAAAATAAATGAAGATCTTGCAACCAAAGTAGAAAATAAATAAATTACTTTCAATTGAGAAAGTGGGAAGCAAGTAAACTTACTACCTAGGATAGTCCAATCCTAGTAGTGCTGTCCTAGAGAAGTTTTCACGATAACCCGTGCCACTGCGGATTTCTGAGTAGGCAATAAGGGCAGATCCTTTAGTCAAATAGTCATCTTTTTGTCCACACTCCATTGATTTCATCGTATTCAAGAGCGTAATTACATACTTGCCACAAAATTCAAATATTGCACATCTTAGAAGGCCGGGACTTCTCCAAATTCGGTAGCCATCATACGAAATTCGCTAATATACGGCTACTGTGATCTAATATGACAACGCAAAAGATGAGGTGTATAAATACAAAGCGATATAAGTATGGCAGCGGTCGTACGGTCGGCCGGTCTGGACGATGGTCGCAAAGCTTGGCAATTGTTCAGACATCTGAACCAAAATGAATTCTACTCAGTCCTGATGACCCTGTAAGTTTAGGGAAAGCAGATGTGTGTGCGTCATTTGCCCTGAAGATCTAGGAAAACAGTGTATATATGCGCGAGTCAAACGAGTTTAAAGAAGATAAGTAATGAGTCTGTCTTACACGCACGCAGATTCAAGAGAATGAGAAAGTTTTAATTCGACTTCCATAGAGCTTCTCATAATCATATTTTTCCACAACTCCGTCTTGGGGCCTATTAGCTTAATAAGAATTTTGAATACTACTCACCGCACACTAAGACAAATCATATCAAAATTGATGAATTTTCATCTTTTTGGATGCTAATTATCTTTATCAAAAATTTGGATAATTTAACAAAATTCATATCTATATAAAATGAACCAATTGAAACTTATCAAAAATTCAACAAGATACTTTATTTTGTTTTAGATTAGAAATTGTACATATTCAAATTTAAAAAAAAAATTAAAAGTTTTAAAAATTTACTTTTTTTATATAAGAAAAGTTGAAAGAATTATTATATGTGACGCCTCACACCTCCGGGTCACGTGGCATGCCCCGTTTGTATTTAATCATAGGAAAACTCTCTACTCTTGTTTTCCTTCTTCTTTTCTCCTTAGCTTAGTATTTTCTAATACAAGATACTTTACCCAGTATTCTTGAGTGTGACATTATATAAAACAAATTTAGAAAATTTATAGTTTTAAACATTTATTACTTTTAAATAAAAATTATTGAAAATAAAAAATTTCAATTTTTAGAATATTTCAATAGTTAAACATTATGTTCTAGAATTCTTACAAGAAGCCCAGCACTTCTGTAGACTTAATATTGCACATTTGGAAAGGTAGACGGCTCCCACATTCCCAATTCAACCACTAACAACGAACTAATTTGTCATCGGAATCATGAATCATGATATAAGCGCATAATAAAACATGAGGGACCCGAAAACGTAGATCTTGCACTCAAAAATGGCAAAGGTCGCATCGGATGTCTCGGATATAATCTCACCTTCGGTCTCCGAAAGGGCGATGAAGATCACAAAGTCAAAAACTAGGGGCTCATAATTAAGCGAAAAATCTGGAGCGTGGCTTGCATTGCGCTCATCTAAAAACCTAGTCCCACATTCTGTAGTCCCTAAGTGCAATGAAATGTGCAGCGCTGTCAAAAGACGTTTTGTTCGTCGGTAGTAATTCACAAAACAGATGCTTTTAGTTTCTTGCTATGTAGGATTTAGCACCCGGTCGACCAATGGGAGTAAGCCACACAGCGGTAAAAGGTTATTTTACCGGCCTCCGAGTCATTGAAATGCTAATCTATGAATACATTATTTTACGATTAAAAAGGAATCAGATCGGCCGGTGGCTTTTTGAGATATGCAACAATCAATAGATTAAGCTTTACTAGCTCACAAAAGGAGGAAGTTGTTGCATATCGCAGGTAAGATGATGGCTATAAGGGCCGAGCGTATATTTACTTTGAAACAGGGAGGTACTGTAGTGGAAGGAGTGCGATAATGAAATGCCGATGAAGGTCGGTGGCCTTTTGAGACGTGCAAAATTGAGTTGTTTATGATCATTTGAATTTTTCTGGGATGAGAAAGCAACGAGGTGGAACAATACATTGATACAGGCACCGTGGTACAATCTTGTACTTTTGTTCAACTTTTTTAGAGCAAGGATATCAATGAGATTTGTATTTGAATTAATGTTGAGGTAACTTTTCACGTGCTTCCGTGAAATATAGAAAGATAAATTGCATATTCTGACTAGCCCGTCCTTGATCCATTCATATTGACACAGCCAGGATAGACATATCCTGAGAGCTGTGGGTCCTATTAATATCGGTCTCCGCTATTCTACGGACTTGTTTCAACATTTCATAGGTAGCGTCTTCATATGTTGCACATCTCAAATGTCCACTGCGGTTCAATCTAACAACGCGACATCATTTATTAGCTAAGTCGCAGTAACTGGCGGACAGCCCTACTGAGGCTCCGATTGAATTCAAGTTCCTTATCCTCATGCTTCAGATATCAAAGACCCGTTAGAAAGTTAAAATACACTGGCTTCCCCATCACCAAAATGTCTCGAGCTGCAACAATTCTTGATAACCCCACGCTCTGAAGTACGAGAAATATGATTTTCAGCAATATTCAGATTCCGGCCCAGCAGAAAAATGACAAAAATATTTTGATTTGCCGGAAGCAGGCCTAGGATTCGGCTAGCAAAAAGGGAGGGCGGCCGCAGCCAACAAAAAGAGGTTATTTGAACGGGGGTTGTGATGATATGACGTGGAACATATTGGAAGGGCCTAGCAGTGTGTAAGAGATACATACGCGACAAGAGATGGCTGGTGACTTTCTGAGATTTGCGAAATTCTTTGCTTGAGTGGCTACAATTGCTGGAAAATCATTAACAAATTCCTGAAGCTGGTCGCGGCTGTATGACACGGGAAGCATCACATTGTATTAGAAAAAATCTACAGGAAGTATAGATGGAATCGATATCTATTGCTAAATTGGAATTGGTATGAAGACCACTTATGGAAATATAAATGCGGCAAATGATACATTTTGACGTTTATAGACCGTTAAAAGAAGGGTTTTGAAATCCAGTTTATAGTATTAGACTATAGTCATTTGTTAAGTGGTATTATTATATCAAAACTTATTTACTTTATGATCTAATAGAAATACATTCAAATTCAAAATACTAATCAAAGTTTTGAAGTTTATTTCTATTGTTTTTTAAATAATATAATCATAATAAGAAATTTATAAAATGAATTTGATTTGATTTTTATAAAGAAAATGTTACGAGGTTTGCCGTCTAGATCACGTGGAAGTGCTCTAGGCTCTCGAAGTGGTTTATAACTAGGCGTCAAGCAGGGACTTAAGTAATGACAAATAATGATATGCAATTCGTAACTAATAGTAGAGTATAATAAATGATTGATCTTGAGCACGAAGCTCTATACAAAGGAAATCCATCTTAATTATATAGACCTTCGTGCCTATAGCTAGCCAGGACCGCGCAGCGGTCCGTAACGTGACTTAAGGTCACGTTACCCTAAGTTAGTCATGTGACGCGGCGTTTGATGATAGCCGTCGTAACAGAGGGCGGGGGTTTCATCGATATAGAATAATTATAATACAATTTTCAATTTTGGTAATAATAAGTCTTTGAAAATAAAAAAAAATAAATAAATAAAAGAATAGAAAACTAGGTAAATTTATAATCAGATTTTAACTTAATTATTCAACGTTTTCCACATTAAATTTATTTATACTAAATCGAATTCTACATGTTACGTCCAAAACGATTAGTATGTCACATGACCATAAAACATGTGATGGAACGGTGAGGAACGAACGTTCCTAGGAACAACCAGGAACGCTCGTTCCCAGGAACGACGATTCCTAGTTAACCATAGGCACGAAGGACTATATAATCAAGATGGATTTCTTTTGTATAGAGCTTCGTGCTCAAGATCAATCATTTAGTATACTCTACTATTAGTTACGAATTGCATATCATTATTGTCATTACTTCAAGTCCCTGCTTGACGCCTAGTTATAAACCTACTTCGAGAGCCTAGAGCAATTCCACGTGATCTAGACGGCAAACCTCGTAACACTACAATACTTGAAGTCCAAAAATGGATACAACCACAGCGTCAAAATGATACCTCAGATATCTCTAACAACAATTCATTGTTGTTCAGGGAATAAAAAAATTACCTGTTGTGAAAACAGTCTTTTAACATTTTGAAATCCCTATTCCTTGACCCTAAACCATAGCAATCACTTTATGTCCTAACCGTCAAAAGACCTCAAAGAAATACAAAGTATTAGACCGTGAGCCATGTATGCAACATAAAAGATATCGAATGTAAAATAGAACTTGGCATAAGATCATAGAAGAATTTCTTCTCCGAGCTCTCACGTGCTCAGCACCTGATGTTCTGGAAGTACTATTGTGGATATCTGAAGTTGATTTAAAGTATAAACTAACTCTAATCTAGAGAGCCTTGCAAGAGCCCTGGAATATTATCATGGATACATGTCTCCTCTAAGAGGCTTGGAATTTTCTCAATTGAATGGCCGTGCATTCGTTGTCATATTACTCAATACATAACATAACATATACGATCTGGTTCTTCAGGAGATACACACCTATCTCGAATCGCGTGAAAGGAAGACGTCACAAAAAAGAGATCTTCATGGAACAAAATCTTCTCATTTCATCTTCATGGTGAATTCTAGCCTCGGAAGAGACCTACTTGACCCACTTGTAAATCCTATACGACAAAGTTCGAAGACAAATAGGAAAAAGGTGGCAGAGAGGAGTGTAGGAATAAAACTAGAGAAGGCCGCAGGCTTTTTGAGATGTGCAACAATTTGCTTTTAGGAAAATGGGGTGGATACTCCGCTTGGTGCTTTGGAAAATTCTTCTTCATTTCATGAAGCCTCCACGCAGACCTCATCAGCAACCGCGAAGCCCCACTAGCAAGGGCAGCATGAACTTTCCATGCCCAATGAATCTGAATGGAATAGAGAAAGAAGTTCGGCGACCTTTGAGATATACAACAAATTTGTGATATTTCAGTAATGAAGGAGGATGATTTGCTTCTGGATTTCAGCGTCTTTTTCTCGGTGACCATAATTCAGACCTAATCATTTGGGTTGAAGCATTCAAGTGGATCTTTAGGACGAGTTTCCCTACATGGTGAGGTCGCCGGCCTTTTGAGGTATGCAACAAAATGTGTTCTCTTGTTATTATTATTCCCCTTAGTCGTCGGGCTTTTGCTGTGATATTGCCTTCCTGGTCTCCCTGGCTCGATCACTACCTTGTCTGGAGGGATACTACCCTCGTAAAGCGACTCGATCCAGGTGGAGCTACTCACGTCTTTCATTTCAGGTCGCCGATTGAGAGATGCAACAAAAGTTCTCTCGCTGAGAAGTGGGGGAAGTATCATTCGCCTTAAAGCTTGCATAGCTCCACTTCGGTCTCGATCTCATTTGCTTTCGTAAGATCTTACCATTGGATATTGTCCTTTCTTCGACATTCATCGGAAGGCTATTGCTGAACGGACACAGCCTGTGGGAACATCATATCGCCGATCAGAAATGCAACAAAATTTTCTGTTAAATCAGCCTTCTGTCATTTATTCTCCATGCCCAGAAGAATCCTGACTCGAGACGTTGACGGGTGAAGTTTGGGGTGGAGCCAAAAGATGAGCTTTTATTTTGACAAGTGGATACCCGGCGACCTTTAAGATAGAGACTTGGAGAAAGGAGGACTTTCCAGGTCGCCGACCTTTTCGGGTTTGCAACAAAACGTTGTCTTCTCATCCAATTGAGCACAAGTCGTTTTCATCTACTCCGTAGCTCGCCCCCACTTAGCACCTGGCGTTGTTTCGTCTCACTCAACCCCATAAAAACTTCTTACTAATATTACCCTTATCGGCGACATCAATCCTTTGCAAGGAACCACCAGGTCGCCGACCTTTTCAGATGTGCAACAAATCCCATTTTTACTTGCTAGCAATCAATGTCAAACTTCTTCACAGGAGATGTCTTTAGTATCAAAAGATCCGGCTGATGCCCGGAATCAGCCTTTTTTGGAAGTTTCTCCGGAGCGAAGGAATAAGGTTGAATGGTCGCCGATATGGACAACGTAAATTTCGGCAACATTGAATGAGACTCCACGATAAAAATCTCTTTTCTTGATTGCATTCCTTCTTGAAGGATCCTACTTTTATTATGTGTTCTTCAATAGTACACACAGCAGCAAACGCTCTCCCGCAGCCTTCTGGAAGCGACGAGTCGCCGCCATTCTACAGTGTAAAACCTATGTGATTTCTCAGCCACAAAAATCAAGCCACACGCGACGCACGAACAACATCAAAATTCATCGACGTCGCTCTTTCTCGGCTTCTTCATCAATAACCTGCTGTCATCCTCTCATGCCCAACTTCATTGCCTTTTGCAGGCGCTCTTGATGCTGCCACATCATCACGACCTCAATTCCGACCATAAGCGAAAGTTTCTCCACGCTAGCCAATGGTTACTATTGATCCAAAATTAATGCGACCCCCGAGCCGGCCTCCTTTCCGTGATGTGATATCCGAATCGTGTGGAACCATTGGTGTCATTTCCTTCTTTATTTTAACGAGCCTTGTAATATTGAGGTCGGCGGCCTTCCAAGACATGCAACATTTCTTTTTTATGAGTATTGATTGGAATGCCTGAGCTGGTGTTTATCGAGCGATAAATTGCTTTTGTGCCAGGGATGGAGAAGAAGGATTGAGATGAGGATGATTAAGAGACCTTTCCTGCGACCATGAGTTTAATTATGCTTATCCTTCGCTATTTGTGGATATTAGTTTCTCTTTGCTTGCAAAGCACCATAATTTCTAACTGCATCCCGTCGATACATTGGCTGGAGACATCATCTTGCCAGCGCAAGGTTGGGTCAAGGCCGTCTTAGATATGCAACAATTGCATGCTGTCTACTTTCGCTACCTTCTTACAAGGACAGAGTTTTTCAATAGTCTGTGACGACTGCTGTCATCTGCAGGAGGTCGCATTCGAGACCGGGTGGAAAAAAAAAGCTCTTCTTACTCTAGGTTTGATGCCCAATAGCATCTAATTCCTAGAAGAATCCATCTAAGATATCTATTGCTTGGCCTGCAGCACCCCGCTCGATAATATGGACTGACCGTGGGTGACCCCAATGAGATGTGCAACAAAATGATGTTCACATCTCATGGGTATGGGTTGTGGTATGAATCATGTGTATCCGGATCCGGGGTGTAGATATGATACTATCGAGGTGTCCTATAGCCTGTAATTTATTTCTATTTGTTCCGTTTATAAGAGTGCAAGTTTTCAGTCTCACACCGAGTTGGAAGAGGATATGTACTAAGTAGTGAGAACCTGAACAGCTGTGTGGAAGTTTCAATGAGGGAAATTTAAAATTAGCTGTCTGCTCTCCACACGTCTTTCTATGAAAAAGGGGAAAGAGCTCACAAGCCAGGATTCTAGGCTATGCAGCATAGTATCTCCACCCTTAGCAGTTCAATGGCTTTATTTAATAACAGAAAAGAGAGCGAACCGATTTCTAGAGAGGCCATTTCCATATCAATCTCGATCATTTATGGGCAGAATACATGTTTTATGCCTCTAGAACTCATAGTCTAATAGATATGTTAGAAGAAGCGCTTTAGACAGCAGTACGATTTTTGAGCTAGAATTATATCACCATACAAAATATAATATGACGGAATGGAATTGACATCTTAATTATAGATACATTTGAGCGAGATATCAATACTGACTCTCAATCTTATATTAATATCTAGCACTAGGCTCCGCAGCAGCTATACACCCAACCTTACACCAACTGCAAAAAAACCAAGACTACACCAAAAACAAAAACAAAAACAAAAAACAAAATGCACCCCTTACAAAAATTATGAAACCGATACACCACCATCACTTATACCTGTCCCAAAGCCTTCGCTCACGATCAGCATCACCCCCGGATTCCTTCTTGCACCAATCTTTTATCCTCTGTGTCGACCAATCCCACAAAGGTCTATTTTTTGCCTCATTCCTCTCCTGTTCCCTAAGAATTCTATCCACGCAGTTATCTATCGAATCATTCTCCTCTTTGGCACGGCGACGTGCTTGCTTTTCGACCCATTCCAGTTTAGCGTCGTGTTTGGGTTTTGGGATGGGATTTACGTCTGTTCTGCTGCTGCCACTACGTCTAGCGCTGGAGCTGGAGCTGGAGCTGGAGCTGGAGGTGGATTTTTCCTTATCATCTCTTCGACTCTTTTCCCTGTAGTGATCGTCTTTTTCCCTGTAATGATCGTCTCTATCCCTATTACGTCCCGAAGTAATTCTTTCGCTCGTGGCTGTGCGCTCAGCTCTGCGTTCATCCAGTCTGGTAGCTGATCTCCTCATATTTGCTATAGTGGGCGCAAATTAGGGATTCTGATATGGAATAGAGTGTTTAGATAAAATAGATGATGAGATAAGACGATAAGATTGATAGGGGATGCTGAAATGGCAAGTATTGGTGCTGATATATTAGTAGTTTCTAGAGAATACAAAGAGCATTATATAGGGGATCTAACACTACAATAGGACTGCAGGAGAAGGTCGAAGGAATTTCTAATTCATGTGCGTCAGCAATATAGTGGTTGATTCGAGGTCATTGTACGTACCTTTGTGAAGCGGAACCTGTTGAAGTACATGCTCTAGCCGCCAGTAAGTACAAGGGGCTTATAGGAATTTGACACATGCACGGAGACAGGAGTTATGTTTGAAACTGATATAAATGCTTAGACCAGAGCATATATTGCTCTTTCCTTCTTTCAATTTGAATATGGGTCGTGGAAATACATGCGGGGGTTCTTGGAGAAGCAGTCGTGCCTCTTATGTCTTTGAAAGCCTCTACAAATTGAGGGACTCGAAGAGGAATGAATTTAAAATGAGTATAATGTAAGGAGAAATGGAGACACTGTACTGAGTACTCCAGATAATGTCAAAATATTGGGGTGGTGAGGAGGGAAGTCATGTGACCCAACTTTCACGTGAAAGTGAAAGTTTTATCATTGCCGACGAGTAAGCGTTGGCACTGGTACCACTTCTTCCCAATCTATCAAATTAACCAAACAAAAGCTTCGACTGATCTACATAATTCCAATCACGCCTTAAGATTCTGCGCAGATCCAACAGGATAAAACGCATCATCTGAAAACGCGCAACCAAGCCACTCTCAAAAGCCTCCAACTGCAGAAGGGCAAGGTTCTTAATAGTTGCGCGCAGCTATGCAAGTGTCTTTGTAATAGATGGTTTGATATCCGACAGAATATTAACATGCGGAGTAGTAATAAAAGCTTGCATGATCTGGGGGCAGCGGAGACGCGAGATATGAAGTTGAAAGGTAACAACGGTTCAAGATCGATTGTTGCCGCTTATATTTGCTCTCAATGCGAATTGGGTATACAGTATCGTTCACCGCCGCCTTTGAAGCTATAGAAATTTACGAGGGAGAGGTATTAATCTCGGAAGAAAGACTAGCTGGCAAACGAGGCATTGAGCCTACGTAGAAACTTGGTCATATTCAAAGAACAACTTTGTCGCCATTTATATAAGCATCGCCCTTCTTTAGGTAGTAGTTGATGAAAGATGAGAGTACCAACAGCGTAGAAGATGCAAGGGACCATCGTCCTGTCACGTGGCACATATTTCACATCATGTGGTCACATATGAATCCGGATGTTTACAGCTGGCAAAGGCAAACACTCACGACCTTGAAAGGCTGAGGATAACACAGATTCGTAGCTCCAAACCTGTATGACAAGGTAACAAGGAGCAAAAAGATTCCACTGCTAGGATAGTTGGGCTTTGTGACTGAGGACTTCCCTGAAATCCACCTTATCCCAAATGACAAAACCAAATGTTGAAACAAATAAACTCATCGAATCACGAGCATATAATGATTTGGAATAACACTTATTATAATTGATCCTGTAGATAGTTTTTCTTAAGCAAAGTCAAGTCCTACCTAGGATGGGAAGAGGATGTGTCGCATATCGCTTTCCACACCACGCAAGGTTAAGGTTAAAGCTTTGTGAACAGGACAAGATATCTTGAGGACGGGAGCCAAGTAACCTTAATGCTGCTGAAGCTCCTCGCCACCATACATGAAATGAGATTTCTTGTGGATATCTGGTGTGCACTACCGATGCGGCAAATAGGAGTATTAGATATATTCTTTGGGAAAAATATGATAGACACACATAGAAGGTTATGTTGAAAAGGAAATAAAATATCCTGAGTTGCCGAAAGTTTTTCTCACAACTTCCCCGGATATGCCAAGCAAATCAGCACAGGGATCGATTGAAGATTTATTGGTGTTAGTGCTTAGTCATCAAAAACAAGTTCTTCAATCTTATCAAATATTCTTGTTTATCCCCTCCAAATCCGGGCATCTTTGACCACAATAGTCAATAATATATACAATATTTTTATTATACCTATAAATTTATTATTAAATGATGCGCTATGTCTCAAGATACATCTGCCGGCATGGTAAATCATCCAGTTGATACATTGGACGAAGCAAAATACGACACTCGCCATGATACTTCTGAACTAGAAGTCACTACGGACACTAAAGAAGCCATAGAAGTCACTGCAGCTAAGATGAATTTGGAATCATCGACGTCTCAGTTATTGAATAATTTATCTGTTTCTTCATTAAATGAACAAGAGCTCAGAGCCACGGATCATCCGTCGCAATCAGACACTGCTTTACACAAAAGTTCCGATGTTGGTAATGAGCCGAAATCGATTATTGATACAGCAACAGCAGGTGAAGATGGACGGAAAGTAAACGCGGAAAATACCAATTCAGGTAGGACGAACCGTTAAATCTTTACCCTTTACATCATGTGAATACTTCTTGGAAGGTATATTCTAATCATATTTGCTTCCCAAATAGTCGCACCACCAATGTCTATCGTACGACCACTTGAAAATATAAACCCTGCGACTGAAAACCAGCCTCCTACAACAACTACTACTACAGAAACTACAATATCTCCTAATACTCAACAACATTGTCAGCCATCAACAACCTCTATCTCTACAAATCCGCCAATCTTGAGTGACAACACCGCTATTGCGAATCCCGCCACCATCCCAAATAAAGAAATGAATGTCGTCAGAAACAAGACAACTCGTCGGAAGATGGCTCGGGTCAAGGCACATCCAAATGCCTTGACAATTTACGAGGCTGAGCTAACAAGTAAGGACAGGGCGACGCAAAAAGAAGCTGTTCGGCAATACTTGGAGAAGAACGTGAAGGAGGACTGGAATTGGGTCTGGCCAGCAGAAGAAAGTGACCCTATCGATATAATGGAAGCATTGGTCAAGAACGCTTCTCTAGACGATGCCCAGAATACTAGTATTGATAGCCCTACATACAAGGAGGAGTGGCGAGAAAGAGATATCTGGGAAAGCGATCCTAGCGAGAGCGAGAGCGAGGATCCAACTTCCCCTAAAGGTCCCATCAACATCAATTCTCCGGATAAGGAAAGCCCTTTCCGATTTGACAGCCCTGATAGTGTAGGCCAAATGGTTAAACAAAGACGAGACGCTCGAAGACGCCGACATAAAAAGAAGCTTGCCGCGGAAATGGAATGGAATACGGGGGTACATTGTTACGTAGAAAGACGCGATGCATGGACTTGTGCTCGCCGTGTCCCTCCACCAACCGGACGAGAACCTCGTGGCATCGAAAATACACCGGTCCATACAAATGGAAACCTCCATCAAGCTGTAGACGACTTCTCGGATTCAGAAGGATGGGACACGGAGGTCCCGATTGCTAAGTCTCTTCTACCACCGGACAATGCAATGAGAGCGAGCATTAACCCCCAAGCTTATAGCACCATATACGACAAAGTTGTTATACAGTCATTGACACCCAGTTGTCCTATCAATTTATCCGATGTCATACAAAGCTGTGTACACGGATGGAAGCGGGATGGTGAATGGCCCCCTACTTCCTCTGTTCCTGAACCTAGTCTTGCTGGAAAGAAAAAACAGAGAAGGTTGAGCATGCTGAGTATCCTAGGCTTGAATTCACCCGAGACAAAAGCACCTATTCCGGTGGCAGAGAAAAGTCCACAGACGCCTAATTCAATCAAAAAGGGACTACAAAGGCTATGGAAACGCGGGGATAAAGTTAGAGCTGCACCTGAAGGTGGGGCAGGGGCTTAAAATTTTGGTATGGAAGAGCTGATGCATATACCATATCAAATGTATTGCAAGGGATAGCATGATATAGCATAGTATGGCGTTTTTATGAGCGCGCCCGGAAGGCCGTTCAGGATGATGTTACGAAAGCATGTTGAATACGTGAATCCAATAGATTCACTCACTGTTGGATCAGATTGTCGGGTTTACATGGCGATTATGGGATAATCTCAGGACTACTAATATCATGTATCTATTATTTTCCAAGATCTACTTCGGGAGCTTAAGTTTGTTGATTGGTACATAAATTATAATAATCCCTCATTCCAGCTCCAACCTAAGGTGACACTTTTCTCCAAGCAAGACCAACCCTAAGTCTACTCCTCTATAAACCCCGAAGATCTCCTGCCCTTGGTTTATCCACTCAGCCACCGCAACCACCACCAATTCCCATTCTCATTCCCATCCGTACTCTCACCCCTCACCACGTTCGTATTCGGAAACGCATAGTCCCAAATCATAACGCGTATTTCAGGCGGGAGTTGATTGAAACGTGTAAAGGTTCGTGGGGGTGGTGGTGAATAAAGACCGTATCGCCATTCCCCATTTACCTCTCCAGCGTAGGTTTGGAGTGTGTATGGCATGGTGGGTGAGGTTTTTGGGGTTTTGGAGGTGTGAGGAGTGAGGAGTGGAGGTTTGGGGTTTGTGAGGGTTGGGAAGGGGAGGGTGGGAGAGGGTGGGAGAGGGTTTGATTGATGGTAGGAGAGCCGGTGCTGTGGTGTGCCTGTGTGAGCGGGGGTGGCTTGGGGATGGGGTTGTGGTTGTGGTTGGAGGGTAGATTTGAATTTGAATTTGGACTTGGATTTTGAAAAAGGTGGGTGGAATGTACGTTGAAGTGAGAGATGAGATGAGAGTTTTGTGATATGATGGTTGTAAAGAGGTGAGATTATGTGAGGTTGAAGGCACTGCATTATATGAGTGCTGGATAGACGGGTGGATGATACTAGAAGGAAAATATGCGGGAATTCATGGAATTCAAGTTCAATTTGGTTTCACATTTTTAAAGTCGAAGATATGTGGAGTTGGAAGTCCAACAAAGATTAGAGTTGATCAACACAGAAATTGAAAATGAAATTGGAAGTCGGGAATCCCTTTGTAAATTTTGTTTGCTTGCTTGCTAAATGGCGTTTCGAATGTATTCTTAGTTTCGAGGATCTGGTGGTCTCGGCGGGAAAGAAAAGGAGCACCTTCTGGAAGATTTTTGTTCGCTTAATGAAGGGGTTGGGCTCGGTTGAGTTGAGGCTAGTGATTGTATTGGGTCATTAATTAAGGATATCCAGGCCTAATACATAAACCTCGTTATTTGAGGAAAGAAAAAAAGAAGAAGAAAAAAAGATAGAAAGGAAGTACTCCAAAAAGTCCTTACAATCAAAGTTTTGCATTCGCATGTGTGTATGCACCTGATTATATTGAAGTTCCTCCATATATTGTTGACCTCCTGGGATCTTGGCAGCATATGCATATATAGTACATATGCATATAAGGAGCAAACAAAACTCAACTTTTAATTCATTCTTTCCTTTTTGGTATACTGTTTGTTTGCTTTCAATATTTTGATTTCAAAGCACTTTAATTCCGAAGGCCGAATACCCAACCTATTCCTTCATTTTTTTGAATATATGCTCGCAGCTTAACTGCTTAGCTAGAGAATAAGTCAATTCAATCTGATGCTCTTTCTAGTCTCAAGAAACCCAACATATATGTAGTAGCTAATTACGAAATGGTCCATTTTCCCGTAGGGTTTGAGCTATCTAATTATGTAACATGAAACGGCTTAATACAGCCATATGTTGAAATAGTATTATAGCTAGAGGAAGAGACACCTGCCATAGAAATCTGAATCTGCGTCAGAATATGCGGAGAGAAGAAGGGTCTTTGGACTTTGGCACTCAATCTTGGATAAGTTGCGGGTGTGCGAACGAAACAGTAATTTATGGTTTTACTAGGTGTGCTTGTTTGTTAGTTGTTGGTTGCGCGTATAAATCGGATCTTGAGTAAATTTGAGGCCCATCCAGCCGGAAGCGAGTTGCGCGTAAATGTAAATGGGAAAATCAACAAAATTCTTGTCGCCTAGCAGATGTATGTTCATATACCAATTTAGGAATGTTACTCTTGCGTTCAAAGGTTTCCCATTTCCCCTTCTTTTGCATTATTTTTCATTATTTCTCATAAATTGTTCGGAAAACTGGGTTTCATGTGACAGTTCGGAGGCAGACAGTGTCCTATAAGTGTACCTATTGTTCTGAATTGCTCCTGGAAATCGCGATCTCATATCTATATTTGCACACCTCTCCAGTTAAACCCACCCTAAACGAAGCATAGCCTTGCTCGCCAATTTAAGTCACTCACCGATCACCATCATCCATGGAAATTGTCAGGTTTTGTGAGGATTATGACGCCTCAATACCAAACGGCTGCAATACGGAAACAAGTTGGCTACTCGTCTACAGCCCCAGGACTCCATATAATGTAACGACGATAAAATTGTCAACCTTATCAACGTTAACGCTATTGTTCAAAACTATGCGATACTGTCTGCTGTCCCGAAATCCAATATTAAACAGCCTTTGGAAGGCGGCTGCGCTGTCAATGAAACTCTTGATGGATTAAATGTCTCTGAGACAGCTAATCGTTGATCTGGCGCTTACCATCTCCAGCCTGCAAAGTCGTTCCCACCAGAACATCTCAGTAAGAAAATGAATATCTGAAAGCTTTTCGAAGGAAGTTCAAGATGTATACCTACATCGTGGTTACGCCCAAAACGTTGTGAGCAGACGCAAGATCTTCGTCAAGATCGCAATTGAGTTTCATGCTTGCCCAAAGTGGCTGTCACTTTGCTTCATAACAAGTCAGCTCATTTAACTTTGAGTTCCAGCATAGGATAAGCTTTAATCCCAGATATTGCCCTATGTATTCTCATAACCCAACTCGAATTTCTCTATTTTATGCTGAGAGTTAGCAGTTGTAGCTATCAGGTAAGAGCATACAAGCGACATCTACAAAAAGCAAGAACTACGTTGAATTTCCATTGGATATTTATCGAAGTTCAACATCTTAGGCTAGCCATAATTGTCATTGTCGAGAGGGTTAGACGCGGATGTGAAACAGCAAATAGGCCGAGTCAGCCACTGCAGAACTCTGCCGAAGATTGCTGTACTTACTATCAGCAAACATCGGAAACTACTCCCAAATTTTGGCATAGTGGCGGCGGGATTTAATGATACCAGATACTTTCGCCGCTGTTGCCAATTTGGTGCTGTATCTTTGAAGTTGAAAACTGGATCGGGTAGAACCACCGCGTACTACGATTCGGCTTGTTTTACATATACCAATTGCTGAATGGGAAAAAGATGCGGTGCCGATGGCAGCATCAGACGCTTTATTGACGTCAAGAGCGTTATGAAAGCACGGCAAACCACGTCCAGAAAATTGACTTTCTGTTTTGTAGTGGTGTAGAGTGACCGAATGAGCACTTACACATCTGTTCTTATCAAAAGAGATATTTAATAACACTACAAAGGCATCTAATGTCTCTGAGCCTGTGAGTTGTAAACACATCTACATAAAACTATGTTTTGGAAACATATCACATTCAGCAGAGGGTCCATCTATGCCGAGTGTATGTGCGTGACATTTCAATGTCGTTTTCCATTTGACATTGGAAGGTCTCGATGAATAACAATATCATGAGTACTTGATGTATACAGTTCAATTAGGATAATGAAAGTAATAGTCCCGATTACGACATGTCCTGATCCTAGACGTGGAATTGTTTGTATTACACACCTGCCTTCACTTGTAGCGTCTAATTCTTATTGGCACAATGACCTATATATAGTCTCCTAACGTCGAGCGTTCACCTCAATCACTACTTAGTGAACTCAAAAGAAGAAGCGAAGGAACTCAACTCATAAGTATGAGGGAGAAATCACGGAATTGGAAACGTCGATGTTGACACGACCTCGTAAGAGATCTAACACTGTTGATAAGGCTCCGCAAAGAAAGGTCATCAAGCTTGAAGATGCGCAAAAGAGCAATATTGCCACACGACAGGTCCCGCTGATTCTATAACGACTTGCTCCAACTAAAGTAGGTGAGCTGAGACTTGAACTTAAGAGACCTCAATTTAAAAATTAAATTTAAGAAACTCTGTACTGAACTTGTGTATAAACTCTGAAAATAAAATCAACAGAATGAATAAAAATAAAAAAGTTGATAAAGAATGAAACATGTTTTTTTAAATGTCTAATAAATTGAGAATTATTTTAATACATTTATTTTATTTAATATCCTTATGTATAAAAGGCTAATCTTTATAAAAGAAACAGTATTAAATGATATTTGTGGGGAAAATGAAGTTAATGAAGTGAAGTCTGAAGTGACAGCTTACCCCTGTTAATATTTCTTGGCGCTCGCGTCCAACGCGATATGCTCCATACAGCAGTAGCAAGTTTACAGATTCCACCACCATAACCACCACCTCCACTCACTTTCCGCCATTTCAAAGCTCGAAAATTAATACCTTAATCAAATATCTAGCACCGCAGAACCGCATTGGAATTTTCTGCAGGATTCTTTCTCCATCCAATCCCGCCATCCCTCCCAATCAATATGGCGGACTCACTGCACAATGCTCCTATAGTGCTAGATAATGGTTCCGGTACAATTCGAGCTGGGTTTGCCGGTGAAGATCTACCAAAATGTTATTTTCCTTCATTTGTTGGAAGACCGAAACATTTGCGAGTACTGGCAGGCGCGTTAGAAGGAGATGTGTTCATTGGGCAACGAGCGCAAGAATTAAGAGGACTATTAAAGATTAAATACCCACTGGAACATGGCATAGTTACGGATTGGGATGATATGGAGAGGATATGGGAGTACGTTTATGGAGAAGGCCTTAAGACCTTGAGTGAAGAAGTGAGTTCTTAGGTCCAAATCTAAGGTGGAGGTGTTTGCTATTTCTTCTTATCTGGCAAGTCTAGTAACATCGCAGATGACTGATATTATTTATGCAGCATCCTGTTTTATTAACAGAACCACCTCTCAATCCTCGAAGTAATCGAGATACAGCTGCACAAATTTTATTCGAAACCTTCAACGTCCCCGCTCTATACACATCAATTCAAGCTGTTCTTTCGCTATACGCATCAGGACGAACGACTGGAATAGTACTTGATGCCGGCGATGGAGTTTCACATGCAGTTCCAGTATACGAAGGCTTCGCTATGCCGAGTTCAATACGAAGGATAGATGTGGCTGGACGAGATGTTACAGAGTATATGCAAACTTTATTACGGAAGGCTGGATACGTCTTCCATACCAGCGCAGAGAAAGAGGTAGTGAGAATGATCAAGGAGAAAGTAAGCTATGTGGCAGGAGATCCGAAAAAAGAAGAAAAGGACTGGTCGGGTGCCAAATTAGGGGATGGAAAACTTGTGGAATACGCATTACCGGATGGCAATAAGATCAAGGTAAGGAACAAGGATTGATTCACAGTAGCAACGCTGACGATGTCACAGATTGGAGCAGAACGATTCAGGGCACCTGAAATTTTATTCGATCCTGAAATTATTGGGTTGGAGTACCCAGGTATCCATCAAATTGTGGTGGACGCAATTAATCGTACAGATTTGGACCTCAGAAAGTCTCTATTTGGCAATATTGTATTGTCTGGTGGAAGTACTTTAACGAAGGGTTTTGGAGACAGATTACTACATGAAGTGCAAAGATTGGCAGTGAAGGATATGAGAATCAAGATCTTTGCTCCACCAGAGAGGAAATACTCAACCTGGATTGGTGGTAGTATCTTGGCTGGCCTAAGTACATTTAGAAAGGTATGCTCTAAATCTTAAATTTCCTTGGGGGAAGATTGCTAACTCATGTTGCAGATGTGGGTGAGCATTGACGACTGGCACGAGAATCCCGATATCATTCATACGAAATTTACATAATCAACTCCTGACTAACGATTTTTGGCAATCTACGTCTCCACCCACCAGCCACCCATTGTCTGTATCCAAAATAATACTCGAGCCAAATTACCCATCTTGTGAGTACAAGATTCCACGCAGCATCCTCTTCTCCCACATATTCAACTTTAGCACGGTTTAATCTGCATTTGACCTACCCTGCATTTGAAGGCGCAGGCTATTTAGTTAGCAGGTCAGGAGCTTGGAATGCTTTTTATGCTCTTTGCATGTGTTTATGAATGTACAGCTATTCTATGAGAAAAGAATAACTAAATTCAAGATACCCATTTCTGAGCTGATTTGTTTTGTTTCGCGTTTATTTGTTATGTCGTTTGTGATAGTGTGATCAATTGATGACGTTTTCAGCGCCAATTGTTGTTTAAGGGTATCTAGAACATTCAAATTACTCAACCTGGCTGTAAGCTTTAGTTTTCTATACTAGTTGCGAGTTTATATCATACATATCAGAAAACCTGATTCTCATTGAGACTTTCTGTTTCCACCTCAACTTCCTTGACTGCTTCCTCAACAGTCTTTCTTGCTGTCTGTCTTATAAAAGCACCACACAACATGCCAGTTGCTACGCTAACATTTAAACTATCGAGTTTACCTCGCATACTTGCACCCTTGATTGAAATATGCACATCAGCAAGATCTCTCAAGTTTTTGCGCAAACCTTCGCCTTCGCCTCCAACCATTAGTATACAAGGATCCTCCCGTAATGGATCCTGGAGTTTGTGGGACCAGACAAATTCTTGAGAAGCTGCGGGCCACATGTGTCTCGAATCTGGTTTTCGAGGAGCAGGTGGTGCGACTGCTGCGTAGATTTTCCAGCCAGAGGCTTGGGAGTCTTTGATGAAGCCTCCGGGTTTGTTGACGGAGAAGATCTCGATGGTTTCGGCGGCGCCGGCGGAGGCTTTGAAGACAACGGGTGTGAAGGATGCGCTGTTGCGGACGGATATTGCGACTGCTGTTACGCCCATGAAGAGTGCTGTGCGCAAGATGGCGCCTAGATTTTGCGGGTCTTCTATGCTATCTAGGAGGAGAACAAGGGGTTTGCGACCGGTGGAATCTTTTGGAACATTGATTATAGTGTCGTTGCCGTTGACCTCAAGTTCCTCGCGGGATTGGTGGTCGGGAGCGAGTTGGATGGCGAAGCTGTCGTTTTGGTCAATTACCGAGCCGAGACTTATGACGGGTAGACGGGGAAGGGGTGATGCTTCGAGAATGTATCCGTTGTGTGGACGGCCTTGGCTCATTTTGTCGAGGGTTCGTAGCCAGTCCTGTCCTCTTACTATGGCTACCTCAACTCCTTTCCTCTGGGCTAATCTTGTTAGAGCCCCATCTCGGTCTCCATTGTGACGGTCTTCGCCTTTGTGAATGTAGAGCTTGTAGAGCTTTCTGCTCTTTCTTCGCTGTGTGTTCAGGGCAGCTTCGACAACTGAGGTGCCGTACAGGAATTCTGAGGCTGGTGTAGTGTATGGTATGGAAATTGGTATATTTTTAGCGAAGGAGGAACTGGTTTTAGGCGCCGAAAATTCTGAAAGGATAAGATTCCGAGCTAGGTTCTGGCTGAGGAGATGAGCGAGGAGATTGTGATGACGACCCAGATCTCATTGATTTGACCGCTAGTCGTTCCTCGCGTGTGGGATATTTCGAAGGGTACGTGAAACCTTTTTTCCAGTCTCTAGGACCTTCATATCCTTTTTCAGATATCCTACTTACCTCTCCGAAGTTCGGGTAAGATTTCTGCCTATGGTTCAGGATGTCACGAGGTGACCCGAATGACTTGTTAATAGAATCCTTCTCCTCAGCACGGCGTTTCTCTGGAGATTCGTGAGGTCTACCGATGGATCTCTTTTGGTAACCAGCCGTCTCCTCTCCAGATCCATAAGAACTATATGATTTCTTTACGTAACCAGGTTTGCTGCTTCGAGGCTCCTTGTACGTGTCAAAAGATTCCTCCCCATAGGAACCCTTGGCCCTTAGCCGCTTAAAATTTTCAGACTTCCCCTCCCAGTGGTTTCCTCTATCCTGACGGTCTTCAAAACCAGAGGGCGCGTTATATTTTGGTTTTGATTCATTATCGCGATCATCCCCCTTGAACCGTGTATGCATAAACTTGTTCTTTCTCCCTAGATCATCCACAGGGCCAGAGTCCCTCCGATATGGATCTGATCTAGGAATTTGAAATCCTCGACCAGCGCCATCATTTTCCCGACTTCTTTCCTTCCCTCTGAACCCAACTCCTTTCGACTTCCGAAGCCCACGGTTTATTCCAGAGTTGATAGAAGCATATCTTACAGAGCAAGAAGATAAATATAGAGGTTGAAGAATGTAACTTACTCTTTTAGAAGCTTTTGCTCCATTCAAAAAGATTGTACTCATTGCATTGATAGTGCCATTGTGAGAATTTTTATGCATCAATGTTTGATAGAAAATAAAAATTGAGAGTTTGGTAGTCGGAGTATAGTATCACCGAAACCGACCTCGGGCAATTAATCCTTGGTGTTCCTGGACGCGTTGATCGTATTCACCAATTCGACTGCATCGCGAATTCGTGATTCATCAATCAGTTTAAATGTTAGATCGTAGGCATCTTGATTTTTCCTTTCTTTTTGCACGCCAATTTCCTTTTTTTGTGAATTAACCGTATTTCTTTTATTTTCTGCACCATCACCGAACTTTGTCACTAGATCACCGCGTCAACACTTGGTTAAAGGTACCAAGGTTCACAAGGATTTTTTCCAAATACAGGCGCAAGTAATCTTCGATCACACAATATTTTGTTCACTTCTTCTAGTAATAAGTATGGAACTCAGTTATGTGATCTTTATATGCTAATATCTAAATTTAGGTACTTGTAGAGTCAAAGTAAGAGTGCGACGATCCACTTCAAACAAACAAACGAATCCTCCAGTCCCACAGTACTACCAGCAGTATGGCTCAGCTCGGCCATGTTGCTGATAGCAATGAGTCGGAAAGCGATCTAGGCGAGTCAGTAAATTCTGAAAAATTCCATACGCCAGTCACAGAGCTCAGCCGAGAGCCCGAGTCTGTCTCGGCGCATCAAGATGCGGAAGCAAACGGCAGTGCAGGTGAAGACGGAGATGAGAAGATAAACACAGATGGGGACGCGGATGAGGATGCAGATGAGGGCGCAGATGAGGATGCAGATGAGGGCGCAGATGAGGGCGCAGATCAGGATGCAGATCAGGACGCAGATCAGGAAGCAGACCAGGAAGCAGACCAGGAAGCAGATGAGGATGCAGATGAGGATGCAGATGAGGATGCAGATGAGGACGGAAGAGACCAAGTTGACGAATATGTCGAATTTGCAGAGGAAGATGCAGATACAGATGCAGATAACACAATTGTCGTCATGGTCCCGGGGCCGAAGAACCCTGAAGAATATGTGCCATATCAGGAGGATGACACAGTAAATGCGGTATTGGAGGAATTAACTGGCTCTGATGGCGAAACTTTGTACAAAGTTGAGTACAGAGACGAGCGAGAAGAGAATGTAAGTGGGACTTTTCTGTAATGCACCCTGTTGTACTTGGAGCAACCCCGAAAGTATTCAGCATGTGAAATTCTTGCCCTCAAAATTGACTGTCTATCTCTGGAGCGCTTGATCGTCCTCTAAAATAAGGCTTAAAATCATGCGGCCTGATATTTGCTATCGTTCTTGCTACTCAGCTTCCTTTCTACTTCTCTCTCTTACAGCAGTCTTCTATATTGTTGAGTTTAATTTCCGATTTTACTACAAAGCTCGGCGCGTTTGTAGAATTTACTCTTACTATTACGGGTAATATTCTCAGCAAAAACTCCAAGGTAGTCCTTGTTGTTAAGAGTCTGCTACCATACCTACCTAAAGTATCTTCTTTGACCTTCGATTTATTATCAAGATCAAACTATTTTTCAGATAGCAATCTTGGTTCACTGAGATAATTGTCCAACCCTCCTCACATTTTACTCGAGCCAAATCTCAATTCCCCGATTCTAATAGTCATGGAGCCACCAGTTCATTCCCTTGTGGGCGGCAGTAAACTGCGCGTATGTATATTGACGAATGCTTTGTTCTGTCACTTTACTAAATTCTTATCATCTCTATACGTTTTCGCATCATGAATTACTACTTTCAAAATTGAATTTCTAACTTAAGCAAACCGCAGGTCACGTTCAATAGGCTATTGCATCTTCCAAATGGTAACAACGCCTTGGATATTTTCAACAACAGAGATTCATCGGACTCAATTGTGGTTGAGGACCCATCAAATTCTAGCCGGACCATGTCTTCCAAGGCTGGTAAACGTCTTCGCCGGCCTCTCACTGATAACAACTTTGTTGATATTAGCAATATTCAGCTAAGCTCTGACGATGACCGTTCCGCGAAAAATGGAAAGAAGAGGCGACGTCTTGTAAACAATATGTCAACTGTTGAGATTGAAAAAGCACGCCGAAGCACTCGGGTTGGGAGTCGGCAGCCTTCACGACCCATTTTCGATGACGATGACGATGACGAGGATGGCAATGACCCCAAATCGGGAATTGTTCGTTCAAATGGTGATGGACCTCGGAGATCAGGACGTGCAGCAACGAGATCCGCTGCTCCAAGGAAAGCGAATACGCTCACTAGCTATATGGAAGAAGACGAAGACGAGCTTGCTGGTGATTTGCAAGTCGATTCAGAAGGTAGCGATATAGCTTATGCTAAGCCAAAGAGACAACGGGCAAGCAACGCTCGTGCTGCTGTTTCAAAGCCTAACAAACGTGGAAGAACACAAGCTCGAGGCAATCAGTCTGACGATAGCTCTGAGTGGTCACGAGAACGTCCGTCTCGCATATCTGGACGTGGAAACAAAACCGGCAAAAACATGAGGGAAAGAGACGTCGATGAAGAAATATATGCCGATGAAGTAGCCGGAAAGAGCGCACCTAAATTCATTAGCATACGAGAAATATACCAACCGGTATACGCGAATTCTCCCTTCGGTTTAATTCATGACCAAGACTGCGATGTCTGCGGTGGAACAGGCAAAAGTTCCAATAAAGGAAGAAGTGATCTTATATATTGCCAAGGATGTTCTTCCTCCATACATAGACTTTGCCTAGGATATCGAGCAGGTCGGGAGCATATAGTTACTAAGGTTGGCCACGAAAATTTCGTTATGCAGTGTCGACGTTGTATCGGTCTAGCCGTCAAGAAGGATCCCCTTGCCCCACGACTTGGTGCCTGTAGCAGCTGTAATGAACCTGGGCCATCCTGTGCTGCATTTTCCGCAAAGAAAACCGCGAAGCAGGAAGAGAAGCTGAGGGAAGAAAACGACGGCGATGACCCAATTACTAATGTTCGCGGCGAACTTATCAACAACCCAGATAATGTCTTATTTCGATGCCGAGGATGCCAGCGTGGGTTTCATTTTGAACATCTACCACCACTTTCTAGGAAATCAACCGCCACACATAATGCCGATGATCTACGCTCTCAAAGAATCCAAGAATATACTAAGAATTGGCAGTGCAAGCAATGCTCCGAAAGTACAACAAAACTGCAGACGTTGGTTGCATGGAGACCATCGGACCGCAATTCTTACAAGGAAGATGACGACTTTGACACTTTTCGTGAGGATGAAAAGGAGTATCTCGTCAAATGGGATGATATGTCGTATTTTCAATGCTCTTGGGTGCCTGGCGCATGGGTTTGGGGCGTTGCAGCAGCTACTATGCGAAAAGCTTTCATACGTCGAGACGAGGGTGCCAATATGTCTCCGAAATGGACCAAAGAAGAGGCAATCTCTGAGGAATACCTACGAATGGAGATTATTTTCGATGTCGAGTATGATGAATCTTTTCGACCAAAGTCCGAAGAATATGACAAGGCTCATATCAATGATGTTGTTCAGGTTTTGGTCAAATTTAGAGGATTAACTTATGACGAATCCGTTTGGGAGGAACCTCCATCCCCAAATGAAGCTGACCGCTGGAGTGACTTTGTCTCAGCTTACAATGAATACGTCATGGGCAAGTACTTCAAGAAATCACCTGCAAGTGCTGTAAAAAAGCGCATCGATGCATTTCGTTCTCTAAACTTTGAGAAAAAGGTTGTTTTAAAGAAACAGCCTGCTTCATTGATTGGTGGTGAGATGATGAAACACCAAATGGAAGGCCTGAATTGGCTACTGTTCAACTTTCATCGACAAAAGAACGTTATCCTGGCTGATGAGATGGGTCTTGGCAAGACGATTCAGGTCATCGCCTTGATTGCCACACTTGTGAAGGACAAACCAAAGGTAAGTGCAGAACAAATTCTCGAGTAACTATACTAACAGCTCGTCAGTGCTCCCCTTTTCTCATTGTTACACCAAACTCGACTTGTCCAAATTGGCGCCGCGAAATCAAAAAATGGGCACCTGATCTTCGTGTCGTTGCATACTATGGTGCTAAATCTGCTCGAGATATGGCCATGAAGTATGAAATGTATCCAGATGGCTGCTCTGACCTCCGCGCTGATATTGTGGTAACATCCTATGAAGCACCGGTCGATGACTCCAGTAGGGCCTTCTTCAAGAAAGTTAAGTGGGCTGGCATGATTGTTGATGAAGGACAACGGCTGAAGAATGACGGCAATCTTCTATATGGCGCCTTGACAGCTTTGAAAATACCATTCCAGGTTCTTCTTTCCGGAACACCCCTGCAGAACAACAAGCGAGAGCTCTTCAACCTTCTTCAATTCTTAGACGACTCTATCGATGCCGCAGAATTGGACGAAAAATATGCTGAGCTAACAAAAGAAAACTTGCCAGAGCTTCATGAGCTCATCCGTCCTTTCTTCCTCAGGCGTACCAAGCTTCAAGTGCTGAAGTTCTTGCCACCTATGTCACAGACTATCATACCGGTGTCCATGAGTGTCGTACAGAAACAGCTATACAAGTCAATTTTGGCAAAGAACCCCGAGTTGATCAAATCAATCATTGGTAAAACGAACAAAGCTCTCCGCCCTACGGAACGGGGGAATTTAAACAACATTCTGATGCAACTTCGTAAATGTCTTTGTCATCCTTTCTTGTATAGTTCGGCCATCGAAGAGACTTCACTGAGCCATGAGGCTCTCCATCGAAATCTGATTGATGCTTCATCCAAGTTCCAATTACTGGAAATCATGCTTCCAAAGTTGCAGGCTCGAGGACATAGAGTTCTTATCTTTAGTCAATTTTTGAAGCAACTCGACCTTGTCGAAGACTTCTTGAATGGTCTTGAACTTCCTTTTCAACGTTTAGACGGTACCGTTAGCACACTTGAAAAGCAAAAGAGGATCGATGCATTCAATGCACCCAACTCAAAACTGTTTGCATTTCTCCTCTCTACCAGAGCTGGTGGTGTCGGCATCAACTTGGCAACTGCAGATACCGTCATAATCATGGATCCTGATTTCAACCCACATCAAGATATTCAAGCTCTTTCTCGTGCTCATCGCATTGGCCAAAAGAAAAAGGTACTTGTATTCCAGCTGGTGACTAAGGGTAGTGCGGAAGAGCAGATTGTTCAAGTTGGACGTAAAAAGATGGCTCTTGATCAAGCTCTTATTGAAAGTATAGATGTAAAGGATGATGCGGGAGACAATCTCGAGGCCATCCTTAGACATGGGGCAGAAGCTGTTCTTCTTGATGACGATAGTAAAGATGTTTACTACGATCCGGCATCAGTTGATGAGCTTCTCGATCGTTCTCAGGTCGAAAATACTACTAATGATGACAACACCGCAGAATCTCAATTCTCACATGCTCGTGTATGGATCAAAGACAAGGGAGACTTGTCAGAGGATTTTGGTGAGACTGAAGCTGAACCGGCTGCGCCAAAAGCGCTTTTATGGGATGCTATCTTGAAACAACGTGCGAACGATGCTGCTCTGGAGGCTGCTAAGAACATGCAAACATTTGGTCGTGGAAAGCGCGCCCGACAGGTTAGTTCTATTCCAGTTCATCCTACTGCGTCATAGTCCTTTACTAATTATTTAGACGGTTGACTATGAAAAGTCGCAGCCTGAGCTAATGGAACTGGACGGTCCTGATGGCTCGCCTCGAAAAGATGGTCGACGAACTCGAGGATCTCACAGCGATGATGAATTTCCTGGTCACGGTGCGAAGGAATCTGAAGCTGAGGAGTCGGACTCATATGAAGACGTCGATCCCCGAGAATTGGAAACAGGTCAGCCAAGAGTTAAAGGTACGAAATCAAAAAAGCGTCTTTACACGCCCATCTTCCAATGAGTCAAAACGCAAAATGGGGCATTCCAGGCGGTAACAAATCACACCTCGGATAACCCACTCATGCTTTGCCACTCCCTAGAAAAATCGGTAAGCAGCAGCAAGGCTCCAAGCATCAACCAGATAGCTCTGTGATGAAAAGGCCAGACAGCTCTGTGATAAGACGTACAAGACTCGACAAGAGGCACTTGCTCATACAATAACATCGTGGCGAATACAAAAAGCGTAGTAATGACGTTACGACATCATTGGACCTATCCACCATAAATGTTCGTTAAAAGTTAAGGCATTCGCAGGACTCAAAGACCGTTAAGAAGTAAGCTTGGCAAAAGAGAGTTCCTAAATAAACCCAACGGCCAAGCCTATGCTTCAGATAGATTCGTCGAAAGGTTGCCACATTCTAGCCCAGAGCAAATTGTCACATCAGCCGGTGTTCGTGTCCCTGCAATGCTGTCTTGGGATTCTGTCAAGGAACAGGATTCGTCAAACCATTCTTTGTAATCTTTTACTTCTGCTCGTATTTCATTTGCAATCAGTAACAATTTCATTTTTCAGCCGGCTAACAATAAGCAGTTGATAACTATACTGGAGATCGCCAAGGACCCGTCACAATCCAGAGAATTAACAGAGACTATGAAAATTGGCGGCAAGTGAGCATTGACAACGACCGCGTATTTCCAAGTACTAGGCAGATACAAGACTGGCTTGATCTAGGCCACGAACTCCTCGAAAGCTGTACTCGGCATGTTAAAGAATTAGAACAATCGAATCAAATGCAAGCAGATGCTGAGAGGCAATACAGATATTTGCAAGAAAGTATACGGGGTGTTCTTGATGAACCACAATGGTGGTATAATCAAGAAGAGCAAAAAGTTCAAGAATTTTGGCAGGCAGTCACGCCGCAAATGGTACAAGATAGACTTCAACTGCACCTAGACACTGCACAATGGCTTCAAGCGAGAGATCAACTGGTCCGACCAATGGGTAATCACGATGCAGACTACTCACTGCAGCTACATGATTACCGACGACAGTCTAAAGAGTGGCTTGATTGGGGCTACAAACTGATCGATGCTCATAATCGACTTAAACAATTCTGCGAACGAGAGGTAGAAAGACGAGAGGATCCAAAATCACGATACAGGATGCTTTGTAACGACATACGAGATTTAGTACAGGCTCGTGACGGTGAACGGAAGATACGTGAAGAGTTGATTCGACCACGCGGGGGCAATCCATGGGGGAATGGCCAAGAAGGGCGAAACATTCAAGAATATTACCTAAACGAGGGAATGACTAGGGCTCAAGAACCACGCACAGGTACAACCAAGTCCTTAATAGCTAGCAATGCAGTTAAGGATCCGAGTAGCGGAAATTCCTTGTTTAGTGGAGAGGAGGTTGGCTGGGAGGAAGAATTAGAAAATTCTGCAATCCAGCAACAAGAGCAAGAGACCAACGGCGAGAGGAAGAAGCGAGGACCTTACAAGAAACACAAAGGCGCCGGGGGTCAAGCTGTCGACAGCTCCTTCACAGACCAACTCGTGGAAGCAGGAGGTTCCCTGATCAGAGAACTCGAAGAGTATCTTGAATGGCTGGCAAACCACCCCCTGGTCCTCCCAGTCAACAAGAACGATGAACACTACTACGAACAACTTGTAGAATACGAACGGCAAATAGGAAAACTGGTCCAAAAATCAAAGCAATTTGAAGATGCTTTTGATGAACAATTTCAGGTACAAAGACCGCGTGACGCAGAGCGAGCCAGGCATGATTTGGCGTACAAGAAACGCAAAATAGCTGAGAGAAAATCAGGTGAGAAGTACATCCCCATCGAGGACCACGCACCACGCATCCAAGAGCTCGATCGACAGTTACGAGACAACACGGAACGTCAGCAACAAGCCAGGTACTATGCCATCCAACTAAGATATGTCGAGGAGCATGCTGGATTATCGCGCAGTCACCAGGAGGCAGGATATCCACGAATGGCAGCAGAATATGCGCAACCCCTTCCTCAGGGAACACCTTCCAAAGTTATAAACGAACATCTTCATAAGATGGCTCTACCTCTCAGCGATCCACGATACGCACCACCTCTCCCTGAACAAACTTTTAGAATGTCTATGCCATTTGGCGGACCATCGGGGCAACATGCAAAGGATCCCATTCAAATTGATTCAGATTCCAATATACCAAAGAGATCAAACCCCGTCATCCGATCTACTCCAGCCATAGAAATACCAGTGAAGCGCAAACGAGGTCGTCCCCGTGGATCCACATCATCCCTAAATTCCTCCATGACACCGGTACCAATTCTTGCTGGACATATGCCATCTCGGCTGGCTCCCTCCCCATCACTAGCACCAACCTCTACAGGTTCCCCGCGACCTAACGTGCATTTTTGTCCAAACTGCAATTTTGCTTTGTCAAAGTTGGTGCCTTCATGTCCTCACTGTGCCCCTACCGCCAAGATTCGTCTAATGCTGGATAATTTGAAAGGGATCAAAGATTATTCTGAGCAAGTGGGGCTTGCACACAAAGTTTTGAAGGAAGCATTAGCGTCAAGATCTGCTCCTCAAACTTTCTCTCGGAAATAGAAAAGGGGGGTTTTCGGGTAACGGCCCTTTTCTCGGTCATCAAATTCAATGGTCGCTCCATGCCTGCTTGATGTCACGTGGCACTTTGAGCCTTGAGAAACCTCTCCCAATCAAATCTTATCATGATAACCACCAAACTTGGTTACTTTTTCTTCAAGCTTACGCCGCATTTCACGATACTTTATTTTCACGATAAATATAATAATTTGCCTCATTTCTGCATTACTAGAATCATGATGCCAGCCTCGACGGAGCAGACCTTTCTTTTCATTTCTTCCCTTTTGACACTTCAAAGATTCTGGAGATAAACTGAGCAATCAGATGGCGTTTCATGTCCAGCTGGATATATTGTGGACGGTTGCGGGATGACCCTTGCAGGTGTTGACTTGAATATTCCTGTGTCTTTGGGGAAAGTGGTTGACCTGGGAGGGGAGGAGAGGAGTGGAGTATGATGGACGATATAAATCGGCATCAACAAGACGAGTTGCAAAACAATAAGTATAGATATAGAAATATTCAATAATAAATTATACAATTAGAAATAATATATTAAAATGAAATGACTAAGGAATATACTGATGATAATTATTATTCATACATTATGATAAAAGTTCTGGAAACTACTCGTTGTATAGTAAGTGAAATCCTGAAAGCTGTATTTACAGTTGAGTCCTACTCCTATCGAACACATACCATGGCTTCTAGGTTAACGAGCATCCTATATATTTTATTGTATTATATTTGAGATGTTATTATTTGTTTTTATTTACCTACGTACTCTTTGTTTATTTGTTTGTTTTATTTATTCAAGTCGATTAATTGACTTAAAGTTGTATTTCCTTCATTGCAGGTAGGTATTTATCCGCATCTGTATTTTCATCCATCCATCCATCCTGCAAACTCCACGAAAATGAACTAAATCACCATAACAATTATACTCAAGCACATAACCCACAACATCAAGAAATTATTAATCAAGCATCCCAAGTCCAGATCACCTAACTTAACTTAACTTAAACCAACCCTCATTCCCCACCCATCTTCACATCGTCCTCAGCACTATCCACATCTCCAGTCTCATTCTCAACCTCAGTCTCCCGAACCCGCACCTTCTTTCTCTCCCTCTGATCACCCTCCCCACTAGCATAAATACCAAAAACTCCCTGATTTTCTCCATATGTGGAATTATATCCGATAAATCCACTTGCGGAACTTATATCGCTTATACATGGGTCTCCGGGACTGGATGGTCCGTTGGGGCTTTTTGTATCTGTATTTGCATTTGCTTCTGTATTTCCAATGGCATCCGTATCCGTATCTGTAGCTGTTTGATAAGCTGGAAGAATAGATAGAGCTTGCGCGGAATATGGCGGTGGATTATCAATCTCTATATCTGCATCTGCATCTGCATCTTCATTCGAAATCTCGAAAGAAGAACTCATATGGCCAGCCCAGAAACTAGAATGCATATCATGATTAATAGACATAGCATTATACGTAGATCGATTTGCGCATTCAGGGCTCGAGATTTGCATTTCGGATTGAGCTAGTGTCTGAGCTCGAGTCTTGGGCTTGGCCTTGGGAGATCCGAGATTCATGGTTTGGTCTGTGTATGTGGAATTGGAGGGATTGCGTTTCGGTGGTTTGTTAGTCGCGTTCGTTTTCGTGTATCTGGTGTGCGTGCCGGTGGCGGGTGGATTGAAGTTGAAGCGTGAGTGGGGCGTTGTAGGAGGCATGTGGTAGGTATCGGTGGCGCCTAGGGCGTTGGCCCTGTAGCCTTGGAATAGACCTCTATTGTCTGGGGTGTTGATACCCATTTCTTGGGCTGTGTTATTGGGATCCGCAACTGTTGGGTCGGAGAAAGAGCGAGAAGGGGTTGTGGACCAGGGAACTGTGTCACCGGGTTCGATCTTCACTCTTGAGTTTGTGTTAGTTTGTGGATTTATTAATATCTGTAGAGAAAGGAGGAATGCACTTAGGTTCTAGCTTCCAGTCATCATCAATTATCTCATCGTCGCTACGTGGATCAGATAGATCGTCAACAAAATGATTAACAATCTTTCTTTTCCCTGCCGGTTGTCTTTTCTTGATCTGTTTCTCCATCTTAAATCTCGGCTGTTTCTCATTCTTAGTTTTCTCTTGCCACTCTCTAATCTTCGGTTCTCGTTCCTTGTGACTATCATCAACATCAACATCAGCTCCATCAGCTTCAATTTTCATCCTATCACATAGCTAGTTAGTCACGGTCAAAAGATGAATAATTAGTTTCGCTGGTAAAATTGGAATCAGTACAAACTAAACATACTTATCTTCGCCAGCACTAATATTGACATCCATGCTTTCAGTTCTCTCACGAGGCTTGTCATGATTATCGCTCCGCCATTTTTCCCATAGTCTCCTGGTACCGTTGGGATCGCGCTCAAATTCATAGATAAGACGTGTGCGGTAGGAACCATGACGAAAGATGCGACCATCATCGAGTAGTTGACCTGGTTTGAGGAAGCAGTTCTTGTTGATTGTTCTGTGGGAGAAGTATAGTTAGTTTTGTCTGACGAAAGGGAAGATAGAAGATACATCAAAGTTCTTGTAAGCTTGAGATGAAAATAGATAAAAACAATATGGAACTTGAAAGCAATACAAGATCTCAACGTGACATTAGAAACAGTACAAAAAACCCGCAAGCTGAAAATCCACACACAGCTCAAAATGTAAAGAATAAAAAATATAAGAAATATACTAACTTCAACACATAAGTATCCGACATCATCTTAACACAGGGAAATCTATCTTTCTGCTTAATAGTATGTTGAATATAATCAAAACATATAGTTTCGACCATAATCTGACAACCACAACTAGTGTAGTGGATGAGAGTTTTTCTGCACATCTTTGCGATTTTCCGTTTGTGTAGGTATGTATGGATGTGTAGATTAATCTCTTGAGGAAGAAAGAGGATCTGATCCAGATACTAGATTGCGTGATGATGAATTCTCAATTGTGGGATTCGAGGTGAAGAGGAGGACAGGAATGTAAACCGCAGAGTTTATTGCTAGAATCTGTTGTTAAAACTATCAGCATAACCCTTAAAAATAAATAAGATGGATCTCTCTGATGTAGAGATAGATATTACTTACACAAAGATCGATTAACGTCGGAGTGTTTCAAGATAATTCCAGATAAATCTGGAAGAAACGTCGTTGTTACTGTTGTTGAAGAATCGGAAAGTGAGCGTACAATTTACGTCTTGTTGCACGAGAGATTGCAGAGGAAGATTCCGGAATCATCATCTATATGTATATGGTATAATTAATTCCCGCGTTAAATAAACTACCAGAAATATTCTTGTATCGGGTGATAGGAGGGATATTGCTATGTTGATAGTGAATAGAGCGTTTGTTTGTGGTGTCCAGCTTTCGATAGGAGGTTTACGGGGATAATAATTTGACTTCAATGAATGAAGGATTATGATAAAGGTGGTTTGTTTTGCTTGATGATTTTAGTTAAAGCATATATTCTTTAGGGAACTTGCTTGGAAACATAAGATCTTCGAGGGGTACGTAGCAAGATCGCAGTTCTACCAAGTATATATAAACAGATTCAACAGCAGATTATTCGAAAGCTTCCTTCTTTGATATACAGCAAGTATATTCTCAACGAGTACATCTACAGCGAGCACATTCACCTACCACCTGTACACACATTATGAACCAATAAATACTACCATCTTCAAACCGAAAATAGAAAGAAGCATTCATTTCACTGACTAGCTGATCTATGCAATGATGTGATATCCAGGCAGAGATAACTTTTATACCAAATTCCTGTCCCCGAATCACTATGAATTTCAACCCTCTTCCTCAATCAGATGTCAAATCGAGAGCTGCCTCCCAACCATTTCTACTTATTAGATCGACAACTACCTCTAGGTTGGTTTCTTCCGTGACTGTATCTTGGTGCTGAGCTGCTGGCGGTATATTTGCAATGAAGGACTTACTTGTGATTGGGACCTGAAGGTACCTACAGCTATTATGTTAGATAAAGTGGTACTCATGTGGTGTTTGTTCCAAGGCGGATAGGAAATACTGGAGATAGAGGGGGGCAATATACCTATGCTTTGTGATCTACTACCAACTTCTACCTTCATATTCATTTCCATGCGATTCATAATCTGTAAAATCCACCATCACTAGAATTGCTATTTATCAGGCCTCTAGATTCAGTTGTCTCAGCAACAAGTTCTCCTCCAGTTTGGTGCTCTTCACATCACCCGTATTACTCATTGATTTCCTTGATATTCAAGGCCTCTAGCCTCTAGCCTCTCGCCTCCCAAGCCTTCTCAACATCCATGCTTGGAATTTTACCAGCATAGTAGAGATCTCTCGTTCGCTTATTACGTGCCTTCTGACTCTCAACTTCGAGCCTATCTTCACCAGAGTTTCTCCTCTTAACACCCATATCAGGAGAAAGACCGGAATGATGATCGTCTGTCTTTCTCTTTTGATGTGCTTCAGTGTCAGTTTCATCACGAGACGCTGCAGCGTCTCTCGTTGCTTGGTATTTAAACAAATTGCCAGTTGTTTCCTGATGGTTGTTCGCGACTCCCGCATGATCGGCATAATTTGAGGAGCTACTGACTCCACCAGCTTGCACATGCTCTTCGAGTGTTTCGCCATGACTGAAAGTCTGCTGCCTCTGTTCTTTCTGTTCTTCACGGATTTTCTGGTCTTCCCGACGCTTGGATTTGCGCTCCAGTGCCCTAACCTTCTGATCGAACCTTCTGTTTGTTAGCGAACGCAAACGGAGTGGAATAGGTGCAGATTAATCTCCTCACTTTTGAGCCAGCTTTACTCGTACCCTTCTTTGGATATTGTTACTAAAATATGTCAGCTTCATGCTCATCTAAAGCAGTACAAATATTCGTACCGTTCTGTCTGTAACTTGTCTACGTCATCCTCGATATCACTCACTTCGCCATTGTCGGCAGCAACCAAGCTAATCCGGCGCAGAACCTTTCCCAAACGGCGATCTGCTAAGTGTAGTACTTCAAACCAGCTCGCTAGAGCTAGATCTTGTTCTCCACTTGTGAAATTTCGTAAATATGCCTCCAGTTTGTCTTGATCGTTAAGTATATGTACCACCAACTCGTTTTCGCGCTTCGATTTGAGGAACCTGGATAATTTAGAAGGACGTGACTGTCCCAATTTACCTGAAAGCCCATCGTGGCCTCCAAGTAATGCCTCTGCATTAGACTCGCTATCACAATCATCCATGTCGTCGTCCTCATGTTTGTCTGCATGCTCAACTCTTCTGTTACCTGATTGAGAGCTACTTGCAGCTTCTCCACTAGCAGTCCCGTTTTTGCCGTAAAGTTTGAGATACTTCTCATTAACCTTGTTTTTCTCCTTCATCCACATCTCCCGAACTACCTCTTGCTGTGAAACTGTGAAATCTTGTAGAAAAGCATCAAGCTGATTTGGATCGTTTAGAATATCTAGCTTGTTCCTATTGCCTTGTATCTTTGACTGTTCTTCAATCTCTTGGAGCTTTTCCATCACCATTCTTTCCGCTCGTTCTTGTAAATTGCTTGACTCTTGCAGAAGGATGTCGGGTGTGACCTGAGCCTGTAGAACACTCTGTGTTGTTTCTTTTTGCTCGAATGGGATCTTCAATTGTTCTGAAATCTCTTGGGTCTTCCTAATTGCTCTTCTTTCAGCTCGCAACTTAGTCTTACCTAGATTCCAATGAGGATCCGATTTAGGTTCTGAAAGCCTTGCCTGGTATCTTGATATGTGTCTTAGCTGACGAAGTGTCAAGGATTCTTCGTGTCCAGGATGTGAGAAGTTTTGCGGAACTGCCACTCCAGTCTCTTCAGTGAGTCGTTTGATTGAAGGATAATTATTGAAGTTCAAGTTGCTATCATCAAACTCTAGTAGAGTATTTTTGTACTCCTGATGACCCGCAGGTTCAGGCACTCCATTCCATGGTATAGAAAGTGGTGCACTAGATGATGCGTTATGTTGTTCTACGGATACATGCATATCGACGTCTTGGGCACTATCTTGAGCAGACGGCGCAGGTTTCTGCGTTTGGTCTTTCAACTTTTTTCCCCGACGGGCAATTCGTTGGTTGTATGTATTCCGCAAAAAATTGTTTCTCTTCTCATCTCGTTTCCTCTTGCGTTTGCCTTGCGAGCTTTCGATTGTATAGACAGGAGCCAAAGAAACCTCTCGTTCAGCAAGTAATTGTGTTCCCATGTTTACAACTTGATTCGCATCATCCATACTGTGCCCATCACCCTTTGCGCTTCTAGTGTCAGTAGAAATAAGATTCTTTGGACCTTGCAAGTCGTTGTCTGATTGTGCTGCAAGCCCCTTCCTTTCCTTCTTCTGTTTCGCTTTTAGATCTCGTGCTAGCTCCCAAACAGACATAGCCCTCGGTCCAAGTGGGACAGGTAGTGGTGTTAGGACATTCGCAGTTGATGGCGCACCAAGTCCACTAGTCTCCTTCTTTCCTTCTTCTCTCCGTAAATGTACTGCTTCCCAAACAGACATCTTTTTCAAACCAATTGAGACAACTGGTGATGTGCCAACAGTTGAAGCTGATGGCGATTCAACATTATGTTGAGCTTCATGACCGTTTTGTGTCGCAAATTGTCTTATATGTCGTGGTTGATCAATGATTGGAATTGAAGCTTTTCTCTGGTATCGTGGCTGACCAACGCTTGGTGGCGAAGGGGGCATATATTGACCATGTTCTGCGGCTTCTCTCTGATCTTTCAGTTGTCTCCACTTGGCTACAGCATCACTAATATTGCCAGCATAGTCATTTGCCGTGTTAACCTGTCTAGTTAGTTTGTGATCGGCCGAGAACGTTTCGCTCTTCATCAGTTGGGCATCCTTGTAAGTCTGACTCCTCTCAGTAAACATGATTCCTTCCTCCATCGCCGTGTTTTGGCCACGGGTGTCTTTTCCCTGTTCAGCGAACGTGACCCAATCTGTATCTCTCCAATCTACCACCTTGCTGGCTCCATCCCACTCACTATCATTCCACTCTTGAGCACCAGGGGTGTAATCGCCAGGCACAAAGCGATCTCCACCTCTGAGTAGCATATCAACATTGGTGCAATTGGTCCACTGTCGGTTGCGAAGTTCAAACCGAGCAGCTGAACCTGGCAGCAAAGTACAATTGACTTCTCCGACAAAGTCGCCACCCCACATTCTCTCGCAGACAGTTTCGAAATATTGAGTTGGATGGCTTTTGCAACTGCATCTTGAGTGTCCGAGGTGGATATGCTCGGTTTTCAAGTTGGGACATTTCAACGCCGATTTGACACGATCTCCAGGGGGACTAAATTCGTTGCTATTGCGTGATCCGACAGAGCAGATCAATACATGGCTGTATTGTGCCCAACAACTTTCGTACGTCGTAAGCCTAAACATACACATCGCGGCGGTGATTTAATCTAGCTTTGTTTGTGGAAGAGTAAGCTCTATTGAGGGAAGGTCTATTTCGTGTTTATTTCAGCCTTACAATGTTATGGCGCTAAGTAAAAATAAAAGTCAACCTTAAAAGAAAGTGAATTGAAATGACGAATGGTTGTATGCGGAGTAAATGAGAAGTGAAGTTTGATCAAGTGAAGTCGGGAGGTCATCACCTGACTGTTTGTCAACATATTTCCAAATCGGCGTGAAAGTCACATTAGACTCTAGCTATATAACCTTAAAAGCTTTTTAAAAACTAATACACGTCGCTATACGCCATTCTTTAACTTTCAAGCGTCGAACATCCGTATCTACCAAGTACTCGACACAGGTTTTCCCAGCAAATTTGCAAAGTTAGCATCGCCACATCTAGCAACGACGTCCTGTGCAAGAGAGTACCATATCTCACCTATGATCCTCCGATCCTCAACTCTACCCGAGCACCGATCCTTAGCAAATGTATCATAAAGATGAAGATAAATATTGTTCTGTTGCCGCTTACTCTCAAGTGATTGAAGCTGCCATCCTTTGGCTTCATCGAAGGAATCTTGAAACACATAGCTACTCACCAAGAACGTTCATTTGCTCCATCGTGCCTGCTAAATATCATCTCACGGCCGAATTTAAACAGCAGCTTCACACGCTCATACAGTTGACCATAGACTCTCCACCGCATTCTTCCATACACCGTCTTCCTCATCGCTGCCCTGGTCCAGTCAACAACACTCACCTCACTCCACCACTCACTACAATCCGGAGCCGTTATACCACCACGCTCAAAACACCTCATTCCGCATCTACAGCTACCCAAGCCACCGTAAACATACGACCCAGCAACAGAGCTGCTTTAAGGAATTAAGGATGATACTCTAGAAATGAATGCCAGACCCGAACATAATAGTGCATCAGGATGTACCCAAGTCTGGGCTGGATATAACATTGCTATGGGGAAGCGAGTAAGCCAGGAAACTCCGATTATGTCATGGACTATGGCTCCCAGTTGGACGCACTCTGGAGGATATCCAATAGCATCGTCATAGGCTTGCAAAGGATGGTAGGGTTTATACCACAGGATAGATGAGCATTAAGTCAAGCCTCTTTCACAAAACAGAGCACATGTAGATCAAAATACAAGCATGGAAAGAACGCAGGAATCATTACCGCCTATTTACCCATCCGTCAATAGTCAACCATTATAAAATAAAAGGAAGGAACGCCTCAAGTATATTGGTGCAATCAGACCTCAAAAAACATCTCTTGATAGACTACGCCTATTGCTATTACACCCTACAAAAATGCGAAAGTCCATTCACCCCCTATCCTCCTTGCCCTCCATACCCTGCTAACCTCCCCTTGCAAGTAAGAAGCAATGATGGGGAAGAAGAGTAGACGTAACGCACGCAGTAAGCACCCTTATGAATCAGATCCATTCTTGACCGCACGCATAAAAAGAAGATGAGGAAACAACAAAGATCTTGCGAGAAAAAAAAAGACACAGAGAAGAAACTAGCGTGGCACAATTTGCGGAAGAAAAGAGACATATTTCATCCGTTCGTATGCCCCGAGATATTTGTGTCGGAGCCCAGATGTAGTAAGAAAGAAGTGCTCGATATTGTTGCGAGGAACTTGAAGATATGGTCCACGAATTATCAATCAAGAAGATGATAGATTAATATGCCGATAAAGAAGAGCCATGCACAGTCTGTAAGCACATATTCCTTCTCGCTAGCATGAAATCCGTCACCCAACCGAGCGAGCTACTTTCGCAGTAAAATAAAATCCGATCGCATTAGAGAAATAGAAGAGTCGATAACAGTAGCTTTACAGAATCATGCACTTCTTCTTCTTCTCCTTCTTGGTCAAGAGTGCAGCACGAGTAGCATGTTCGAAAACCTCACGCACACCCTCATTGGTCTTTGCTGAACACTCAAGAGACTTGTAAGCACCGATCTTATCAGCAACACGTTGAGCCTAATGATAGGGGAGTTAGCATGGTTCCTCTATTATCCACTTCGTTCTATATCAAGCAGCTGTCTTCAAAACGCGATGTATCTGATGTATCCTTACCTGATCTTCTGAGACCGGGGTTTGGTTGGTCTTGTGTAATTCCTCGATGGTTTTTGGGTCGTGGCGCAAATCCTTCTTGCATCCAACGAGGATGATTGGGAGGCCCTGGCAGAAATGGAGGACTTCAGAGATCCACTGGTTAGGCACGTGTCAGCAGTTGTCTTATCAGAGCAATAGCAGATGAATTAATCCATCAATCGTACCTTCTCCTGAACGTTATCAAGGGAATCGGGAGAGTCGACGGCGAAACAAATCAAGATGACATGCGAATCTGGATATGATAGAGGTCTGAGACGATCGTAATCTTCTTGTCCAGCCGTATCCCATAGAGCCAACTCAACGTGCTTTCCATCAACCTCGACATCGGCGACATAGTTCTCGAAAACGGTTGGGACGTAGACCTATAGCAGAAAATGCATCAGTTATTAATTCTGATGATGTCGTGACAATGCATCAATAGCTTCGTTGGCGATATCAACGGTGATTGACGCGATGGCCGCGTTGTATTTGATTCGCATATAATTGTAAGGGAGTCGGTGTAAAGCTTACCTCTGGGAAGGTTCCCTTGGAGAAGACACTGACAGAGTTGTTAGTTGGTATAACTTTTATCGATTTTTATCTGGTCGAAAAGCGTTGAAAGGAGATGGGTACTTACATCAACAAGCAAGTCTTACCACAAGCACCATCTCCGACAATAACGAGCTTTCTTCTGATTTCCGCCATTTTGGCAAAGGTTGTGATAAGATTTGTTAAAGAGAGCGACTATGTGAAGTTGTTGATTAAATTGTAATGTGTGTAAACAGATCGTATGGGTCGTTGCAGATGAAAGTTCGTTAATTGGAAAGGTTGTTGAAGGTGGAAATGAGTTCAAGAAAGGCAACCTTTGGAGAAACCTAATAGCGTCGGTTCGAAATGTTACTGCCTTAAATCTCAGTGTTGTGATTGTAATTAATTATAAGGCACTCAATTATTCATTTGGTTACTATGGGAATCATTCCAGCATAAATAAGGAAAACCTTGGGTTATGGTTCAGTAGGCTGATGCGGTGAATCAAGCAATTGAGTTTGGATTGGGATGGGATGGGATGGGTACCGGACCGGGAATATTATAATCAAAGAGAAGTCATGATTCATTTCATTCAGTAGTCGCAGTAATAGTACCTATCTAGGTATTTATTTACCGTATTCCTACTTATCTACCTGATGTAATTATTCAGTGTTTTTTCTTCATGTTCGTTCCCTATCTACTGTACGAGGTACCTAGGTGGCTATCTATTTTTATGTCAAACAGTCAGATATAGGGGATAAGTCCAACTCCATAGGTACTTTTACTCCTCAACCATAACCCTAGCCAGCAACTAAGGGGCTACCAAGGTTCGTACATTAGTATCTGCTAAGTGAGGTGATGTGCTGCATTCTCCACGTATTCTGCGCCCATCACCATTCACTCTCTTAACCTCACATCATGCCATCATGGATATGAAACACAAGACTGATGGCAAAAGACAGTTGCTTACAACTTTATATTTACTCTTTTTTCCTTTGCCTTGCTTAGATTTTCTCGGATTCGGTCAGCACACTAGATACTCCGTACGAAAAGGACTTTTCCCTCTCATCATTTCCGTGCCGTACTTTGATACCGGTTTTTACTTAGTCCTGTACCCGCATTTGATATTCATTTGAGCAGGTCCAACACCAATGAATATGTAGGTACTGTACTTCAATATATTCAGGAGCTAGGGATAACCCGTTATTGTAAGATCTTAATTCCAAAATCAATATCATTGTACGGACAGGACAATCTTAGAGGAGATTTACATCTATCTGGGTTCTGTATGGAGAAACGAATAAAATAGTGGTTAGTAGCTACACAGCTTACATGCTTCCTTGGCGATTCCCTATTTCTTTCTTCCAACCTCCTCCTGAGTTCTGATTCCTGCAGCTCTAAGACTTGGGTAGAGAGAGTCTAGACCCAATGAATGAATGAATTACTTGGGTCTCTATGATTTACCATATGAATCACCATATGATTCACTATATGAATCTGATTACGGGGCTGCTTCCATCGCTTCCATCAGACGTACTCACTGGCCTTGTACTGCTTCCGTACTGCTTCCATACTGTTTCACATCACGATGCCCTTTCAATTATGATGAAGGTTAGGTTATCTACCGGTAACTTGCAATTGTCTTCCTTCCATGGAGAAAAGCACGTCCCCGAGCTTCAGGAGACATCCGTTGAGTTTACGCATACCGGATGGGGCTGAGTTCCTAGACAATCTGCGCCTCACTCCCTCACTCGCGCCTCATTTCGATTTTCTACCAACCAAAGAAAGACAACCAAAGAAATTTAGATAGGACAGGATTGGGTGTACAGGACTGCGAACACACTGCAGCAGGACTTGCGAGGATTACACGCACACACTTCTCTTTGTTATGACATACTAATTCCTTTCACCCTTCTTGATGTCATTCCAGCATTTCATGAATCCGATCCATATTCAAATCCATTGTCAAATCCATTGTCCTGGATACAATGCAATATTTAGATGGATTCAAAGAACAAATGTGCCTCATATCTGAAAGATAATACTTTGATTGGCTAACCTCACTTTAGCACTTCAACTAATGCGCCATTTGCCCCTGAACCAATTAAGAACTAATTCAGGTTCCGTTGTGATCACGTGACTATATCCCGAGCATGAATTGTGCACTAACCCAAAACTCCCTAGCCCAATATCAACGAAAGCTCCATCCAAAAAAAGTTGAACCGGCCACCCTCACCAGCACCAAACGAATTCCCCCTCCCCCACCACCATGCAAAAAGTAATTCGGCGTACGATACTTGCCGAAAAGCAAGCCGTCCGCCGGCTTGCAAGGCGGCAGCGCAAAAATGAACTGGACGAGTTCGCTATTCGACAGGACAGGATGAGAATGTGGAATGGGGAAAACCTAAAACGGGCAAAGGAAAATAAGGTGGCGCGAAGGGAGGATTGGGAATTGAAGGAGTTGGCTCCCAAGAGAGATGTGGGTTCAAAGGCCGATAAGTATGGCAGTATTGAATCCCACTTCGTGGAGGAACCAGCTGCGAGGAGGAAAGAAATCTTGGAGATACTAGACTTATGGGGTGGGAAAAAACATCTAAATATTACGGCGGGGGATAGAGTGGTTGTGATTCAAGGGCGAGATAAGGGAAAGATTGGAAAGGTAGAGAAAGTTGATAAACAGAGGGCGGAAGTTTATTGTGAGGGATTGAACATGGTATGTTTTAGGATCTCTCGTGCCATCCACTCTCCAATTACCCCCACCACGGATCCTGTATTAGCACACACTAAGATAATCATCAGGTCGATTTCGCAATACCTGAATGGATGAAATCAGAGGAAGACCAAGACGCCCGTCCCACCCGCTCCCTCCCCCAAGGCATCTCCTTGAAAAACGTCAAACTAGTATTTCCCTATACCGACCCTATAACCGGCCTGACCCGCGACGTAATCGCCAAAAAGCTCGCCCACCACAAAATGTTCCGAGACCGCCACGCCCAAACAGTCAAATGGCAGCGTATAATCCCTGGTGCCGGTGACCGTCCCAATATAATAATTCCATGGCCCAAAGCTGAACCTCGAGAGAAGAAGGACTATGATTGCGATACCCTGAGAATGGAGGTAGAAGAAAAAACATTCGTGCCCACACTCCTCACACCACCAATGCCCGCGAGTGTGATTGATGAGTTGAGAAATAAATATTCGGTATTCAGGACGAGACATGACCCCGAATACGTAGAGAGAAAATTAGAAGAAGACAGACAAAACGAAGCAAAAAAGACGACGATTGCTTCAATGAGGACGCCATTGAAGGAACTTAATAAGAGAGAAAGAGCACTACGAAAAGCAAAGGGCAAGGGTAAGCTTACTCGAGGCATGTTATTGAAAATTGGAGAGGTGATCTCTCGGAGGAGAGGAACGATCATGAGACAGGTGGGTATTAGCACGGTTGAAAGAGCCGCAACTACAGAGGCTGGGGAAGCTGGCATTACTTCTCCACCTACATCTACGTCTACAGAGCCAGTACCAGTGGCCGCTTGATGATTATGCATGTATATTATGTATTTGGAATGATAAAAAAAAAATATGTAAATGTATGGAATCCATGGCACATAGCCCCGTTCAAGGCATTCGTAGTTCGTGCGTGGTGTTATAGTATATATTAAATTCAACACACATAGTTTCTACCACTTCGATCCACTCACATCTATCTATCTATCCATATTTAAAAAGAAGGATTCGTAGAAATCAAAAACTTTCTTTTTTACTAAACTATCAAGAAAGAAACTAAGTACCCAACAACGACAATTTTTCAAAAGCAGAAAGATGAGGAGCTTCCTTCTTTCGTCCCGCGGCTTGTAGACTCTCGGCGTAGACTGCATCGCCACCTACTGGTCTATATTCTTGTCCTTCTGCCGTACTTTGTTCGGGCCCATTTGCATTTCCATTTGCATTCCCACTCAAATCACCCACCGCACCAAAAACCTCCCCAACACACCCCTTACACAAGCCCACCACCTCCACCATACTCCCCTCACCCGGCCCCTCGCCCTCTCCCACATCCTCCTCCTCACCA